CAATTATATCTTTGTCACCAAAACCGTCCGGTAACAGAAGCTTAATCATTTCATCATTATCTTCTTGTGTCTTTGTTAGTTCGTCTATAATAATATTATTGATTGATTTTACACGAGGTTCTCTTATCAAGTTTATTTTATCTTTCATTAAATTCTTGCAGTCTAGTAAATCACTCATGTACACTTCGTCTACATTAGTAAATTTGTAATTCTCATGGTTACATTCGTGTTTTTTGTAAACATTTAACATGCAGTCGTACGGTATAGGAGAAATCCATTCTCTATTAAATATCGGTACAATTTTATACCTAAGATTTTTACTAAATTGTTTTAAGTGATATGATATTGAAGCACCTTTTTTATTCATTTCTATTGCAAACTCGCAGAACCGATACATATATGTAAGGCCTATACTTTCAATAGCATTCAAAATGATTATGTAAGCCAAAGCATATTTTTTTTCATACACACAGTTATTAACCACTTCATTCAATTTTCTATTTATTATTCCTATACCTTCATAAGGAACTTCAGTATAATTTACTGCGTGACTGTAAGGTACTGGATAATACATTACCCCATTGTTTTGTTTTATATAATAAGGCTGATTTTGAATAGTGCGTTGCATAATATTTTGGTAGTCCCTTTGAAGTGTTTGTACATTTTGTTCTGTGATATTATTTAGATCGACTTCACAAATCGAGTGATTGATTGTTTGAATAAAAAAAATTATTAATTTCAATTTATTGAGAATCATTATTACTTTAGAGAATATTCAACAATTCTTAAATATCAGAATAGTTTATCAATTAAAATTAAACAGATTTGGAATTAATTATATACTAATCAAATATTTTTGAATTACAAGAATTACTGTAATACAGTATTTATAAGCTCCTACAAGTGTATTTTAAATACCAGATCAAAAATAAACTTTTATTATGTACTTTAATAATATATGAACAATTGTAATCTATAATATAATTTATTAATTATTTATATATACAAAAATACGGATTTTTTATATGAAATGATTGATGGAAAAAAGCAAATGTTCATTTAAAATATTACTTATAAATCTATTTTAACAATTTAATTTAATTTAACTATTTCATATTAATAATCATTTAATTTAAATTGCTTAAATATTTGCAAGATTAACTATTCTAATAAAAATTCAGATATCATTAAATAAAATAAATTTTTAATTATGTATATTGTAACAGTAGTTTTATGGACTATAATTTAATAGATTACATAATAATTTAAAGCTAAATGATGACACTTTGCAATAAAATATATATGTATTTATTCAATAATTTACAACACTAGTTTATAACGATTTTGGCGCAGAGCCTTTTATTAATACAATGAATAAAACAGAATATAGATAAAAAATATAAACTAAACTAACAGTTAGATTAAATATTGAAATTGATTAAATTAAAATTGAAAGAATTTCATATGGTGTATATTCCCCCACTTAGTAATTCGGTAAATGAAAATAATTTTCAAAAATATGTATTAAATCTAGACACGTTTCTTAAATATTACAAATATATATTTCATGTTGATCAATGCATTATTCAAATTGTTAGGGAGATAAATAAAATTATTATATCTTACTATAATTATTATAAATTTTTTTTTCTATTCCTTTTTCTAAAAAGCTACTAAAAATTTAAGTATACAAAAGTTTTGATTGTGACCACACACTCGTACACATCCTATTAAATAATAAATCTTTGAAAAATTTTTTAATAACGTACGATTTTGAATTTTTTAATGAAAAAACTTGGCGCCGTTAATTTGCTTTTACAAAACACATATTGTGCCTGGCGTAGTCGGGTATTCCTACAGGAATCAGTGTCCTTCCTGTAAGGATAGTCCAAAGGTCAGTACCTCAGGGCACTGGGTTTGAGTCTGAGCCCTAACTAGCCAAAGCCTAGTTTAAGACATATTGATCTTATTTTTAATATTATGTTTTTAGGAAATCCATTACATAGTTTTAAAATTTCGTCATAAAATTTTAGTCATTTCTAATAAAACAATGTGTAAATCCATTGTAAAAAAGTAACCCTTTTTGAAAAACAAAAACGCGTTTAAATATGATTTTTAACTCTTAATATTTATATTTGAAAATGACGTAAAAAAAAAAAAATTGAGCTCTAATGCGTAGCTGAAATTCCATTAATTTTACTCTGCTACTTTTTAGTTTCGATGCGAAGTTGGGAAGGTATTAATTTTACTATGATGTGTTTTTTTTTGTGTCTGTTACTGCTTTGTCTCAGCTCTCACCCAAACGATTTCTTTCAACGATACATCAAAAGATCACAAATGGAAGACATTATCCTCAAAAATTAAAAATTTCCCTCGTTCCTTGTAAATGGAGTAAATCTCCAAAAAAAATAACAAATTTAAAAATCGCTAGATGTTAAAGCGTTCCAGAAATAACGACACTTTGGCATATATCTTAAATTAAAGCTAATGTAATATACTTTATAATGGAAAAAAAAAAATTTCGGACTTTATTTTGTCTTTACGGTGAAAATAGCTACCGTATGCAATTTTTGTGTTAAAATTATTGATTTTATATTTAACATTCTTAACTTTATATATCTATAACATTTTGAAAAATGTATGGATCAATACAATTATTAGATATATAATAATCGATATATTTTTTTTAAAATCGGACTATTTCCGATAAAAGTAGAACTTTTTCAACTTATTTTTAATTAAAATATATTTATTGATTATTCATAAGTAACCTAATAATCAAACATGAATATTTGTTATATTAATTAGAAGGATTTTTTTATTATTTGAGCCATGTGAGAAACTTTAATTGCATATTTGAAATAGGCATGGAAATGGGTTTAGAAAAGTATATATTGGTCTCGGACGAAAATTCCTTGTAGACCAGTAAATTTATTTATAAATAATAAACATTTTTTTTTTAATTATTACATCAAGACCGTTAAATTTTTATATACATTTGCCACGAAAATTATATTAAATATAGAATCAGACGTATTTTGAATTTTTTGCCAATTGGAGGCATTAAGAGTTAAATAGGATCATTTCAATGTACGCAAACATTAATCAATATATAAAATTTAATTCAAATGAATAAACATTATTCAATGAAAAATAAATGATTAACTTTACTCCTTATAATTCAGGCGCCGGTCTACATTTACGTAAATTATCGTCGGGCAACAATAGTTCGATAGGTAATTTCTTCCCTACCGAACACAGTACAGATAGTGACGCTTCACATATTGTCGACGACGAAAATATAAGGACTGTGTTGGGACCCGCCATCGGATTCATTTAAATATACACTAAGTGAAAACATAATAAACAATAACAATATAACGAAGCGAACAATTTTATTGAATGTAGCAACAATTATCGATCCCTTTGGTTTGTTCGGACCGGTGTCAGTTGTTGTAAAAATTATCATGCAACGTTTATGGTGTTTAGTCAACTCGGTTGGCACGAACCCGTTTCGGTTGAAGTCGCTGGCCAATGGCGTAATTATAGTGCACCATTGACGACATTAAGCAAGTTCGGTGTTCCAAGATAGACGTTATGTGAAAATAGAATCGTTGAATTGCAGTTGCACACTTTTGCCGATCATCTATCAGAGCGCATGATTGGGCGTCATGTCCGCTCGGAAGACAATCCCGTCGATTTAATTGCACGTGGCTGTACTCCAAACGAATCAACGCGATGCGGTGGAACGGTCCCATTGGTCGAAGGAACAAAATGTTAAAAATCACAACAGATTTACCACTACCAGTTGAATTCGTTCAACGAATTTTTAGTAGATAAACCAAAACAAAATTCATATAAAACATTTAATTATTCATCTAATATCATAAATGTTATCAGTATTGTTTTATTTTTAGTGTAGAATAAAAATGTTTTAGTTTCAAAATTCTAATTGAAAAATTGATTACGTAATTACTACAAAAATGTATTTAGTGATTCATTTTCAATTAAGCAAAAACTTGATTCAAATATTTCGTTTATTTTTTAATTCTTAATTTTGTTGATTTTTATGTGTGTCTTACGTGATAATATTTTTCACACTAAAGCTCAAAACTAATAGTACATTTTTTTCTTTTTGCCAAAATCAAAAGTTAATAAATATTTTTTTTTTACTTTGACTATTAATTATAATATAAAATTTTAAATAATTAATTTAAAATTAATAGTTTATAATTTTTTATGAGTTGTAGTGAAATCCTGTCATTAGGGGTGCTAATTAACTAAATTTCTAAACTCCCAAAAATATTTTAAATAATTTCTTAAATTAGTAAAATATTAATGTGGTTTTAATAATATGATTATTCATAAGTAAAATGTTTTGTCAAGGTGGCAAACAGAACTCGTTATTAAATATCAGTTCCAATCTAAATGTTCTAACGTAGTTTTTTTTTTTTTTTTAAATTACAGCTGAAAAAAAATGTTTTTTATTTAAATAAGAATTTAGAAATCATTAAAAATATCTATGAATATCAAAAAACAAAATATGAAACAAAGCAAGATAGAAATAGTAACACGATCAAAAGGTTAAACTTTAGTCTTCAAAACATATTATACATCCTTCAATAATACACTACACGTATTTTTTTAAATACAGTAACAACTTTAATTTATTCTTTTTTATATTTACTTCACTTGCAAAAAAAATACCATAATATTTCATTCCGAAAATTTTATAAGTAATATTAAACATTAAAAATACTAATATAGGTATTAATCATGCGTAAAATATTTAAAAAAATATGTTTAAGCTCTGCTAAAATAGCAATTTTGTATTATAGCTATTAAATTGTAATTTTATTTATTCAGTTTAAAACAATGTATTAAATTTTCATATAATTTATGTGCGTGTTTTGACTTTTAAAAGTTAAAACCATCATAAGGGAAAAAAAATAAAACTGTAAAGTACTTAATAATTAAAAAAAAAGATAATTATAACAAGAAATAACTATATTAGATTTATTCGTTGTTTAACAAATTTACACGCAAATAACCTGTGGCTTTGTGGATACATAATGAACAGTTTTTTTTCTTAGCGCATTTTCTGCAATACCAACCATGACCACATGGTCTCATTACGTGTCTGTTTGAAGGATTTGCATCTTTTATTTGACTACGGCATTTTAAACAACGTATTTCTCGTCCATCTAAGATACATCTTGGCGATAAGGGCCAATGCTCTAATTGCAAATATTAAAAATTAGTTCGTTTTCTAGTACAAAAGTTTACAGGAGTGAGCAACTATTTTACTTTTTACTCGAGGACACTAAGTATTAAAAGAAAAAGGAATTGCACGTACTGAAGCAGTATAAATTTAAATAAATAAACGGTAGTACAGTGGATCGCAGCACAGTATGGACATATGGGATTGCTGAGACAAGTAAAAATTTATACTTGTCAGGTGGTATCATTTAATGATACCTGCCAGCGATTAAAATCACTGTCATATGTAACGCTTCGTTGCAATTCTGTAGAAAGTGTTTAATTTTAAGAAATTGGTGGATTATTCCATATGCTACATGATCTCCTCTTTCCTTATTTATATCCTGAGTTGTAGTTCTTAGATTTAAAAGTATAATACATGATTATATTTTTATTATAGCAATTAAATATAGTATGAAATTAATATATAAATATTTATATATATATTTATATAAATATTTATATATTTATATAAATATATAAATATTAATATTAAATATTGTCATTTTTAGGGAGAAATAATAAAAAATTATAAAGTAGTATATATCTTTAGTTCTATGACAAACAAATAAATAAATAAAGGGCATTATGCAATACTTTATAAAAGAAATTTTTTTTTTTACTTATGAATAAATATATTAGTCTACAAGGAACTTTCATTGGAATCAAAAATATACTCTTCTTACTGTTTTCAAATCTGATATTAGACTTTTTCTATCACTTCTAAGTTGTGATATCATTAATTATTTATTGTAATAGTTGACTTAAGTAAAAATTCATTGTTAAATTCAGGTGGAACTAAAAATCAATTTTTTTTATAAATTATTTGTATAGCAATATATTACCAAACAAATATATATTATAGATTAGTAGTAGCACATACAGATAGAAACAACAAATATAAATTAAAAAGAAAATTATTTTTATTTTGTTGTTGAAACCTATTAACATATCAAACCTAATTCGACAATAAATACTTTAAATATATTAGAAATGAATGATTTTAATTGTCTGCATGGAAAAAGCTGGTTAAGCAACAATTTATTTGATAAAAAGGATTTTTTTCAATTTTGAGGGTAATGTCTATAACTAGATACTAGTTGTGTACTTAAACTAGTTGTGATCATTGTACGAATCGTTAAAAACAATTGGTCAGTCAAGTAAGAGCTGAGAATATATATCGCAGCCACAAAAAAACCACATAGTAAAATAATATTAACATGAATAAGAAATTTCTTCTCACGACGTAAGACTACAGTGATGAGTTCCTAAATATTTATTGAATCTAAATGAGATAAATATCAAATGAATTGAACATTTTTTTCTAACTCAAAAAGAACTAAGGCGAAAATTCATTGCCACAGGCGGAATCAATCCTCGTACTTCTAGCGACAAAGAAATAAGTTCAACGATAATTTTTGGAAAACTACAACTATTTCAAAATTGAAGTTAATAAAATGTTGTTATTTATATTAGTGATAAATAATATAAAATATTAGTTGAACGAAAAAACAAAAAGGAAATAGTTGTTAAAAGTAAAATTTGATTAACAAAACAGTAATTGCTAAAAGGTTATTAGATTTATCATATGTTTATGATTCATACTGTATATAGAAATTTCATATACAATAAATGAATATAAAATAACTTTTTCAACATCATTTTTATTAAAAAATTCTTCCTACTTCATAATTGCCTAATTCGTACTCTCCTAATTTGAATAAGACTTAAAATTTCAAATAATTTTTATTCGTTATCTTTTTTTTTCAGATATTGTAAAAACAAAAAATTATTAACTATTTAAACATAACTTTAGTTCTGCTTAATTTAAAATCAAACGCAGTAAAACAACAATACTATACCATTCATGAAGAAAAGTTATAATTGCTATTTAAAATGATCATATATTGTGATTTAAATTATTTTTGAAAAATTTGTCTATAGTTTTATTAAAAAATATTTTAATAACAACTTTGTAAACACTATACTAAGTAAAATATATAAAAATGAGTTTTTTAAAGTAGAAAATCATGTAAATTTTGAATGGATTTATTATATTAGCGTCGTAGTTAAGCGGGAGCTAAGGGGCTATATCTCCCTCCCCATAATTTGCTAATTATAAACTTTCGATGTATACAATTTTAACACTAGTAAGACTATATCGTATGCAAATAAAAATAGGTCTACGACCCCTTAAGCTAAATTACCAAACATCATATACAATATAAAGAGACGCTAGTCATATTTTTCTTCATTCATATTTCAGTAAGTAATAATAATTTAATTACCTTTTTCAACTATTGAAGTAGGTGTTTGTATACTTAGCTTTTGAGTACCCGTAGTCAATTCATTACATACAGGACAAGCCACAATTTTGTCAGCACACGTATTACAGCACCAGCCATGTCCACATGGTGAAAAAATGTAAATTATCTGGATAATACCACTGTATTCTCGTCCACATATAGTACAAGAGGTTTGATCTAAAGGAAAAATTGTTAAATACGTATAAAAACTTTATTAAAAAAATCTTCCTCTTTACTTTTAACTCCAATTATAATTTTGTAATCAGGAAAATATAGCACTAAACGCAACCCATCAAGAATAATTCGAGTATTATTATTATTATACTCTACTAATTTGTCTATAGACATAGTATTCATTGATTCTACACGAGGTTCTGCTAAAAAGTGTACTTTATCTTTCATTAATTCCATGCAGCTTAGTAAATCCTCTCTGTATTTTTTGTCTACTTTATTAAACTTGCAATTCTTATGATTGGGTTTGTGTTTTATGTAAACATCTAAAATACATTCATACGGCTTAAGAGAAATCATTTCTCTATTAAATATTCGTATAAGTTTAGCAAGATGTTCACTAAAGCCTTCTAAGTAATCAAATATATTGGTACCTTTTTTATTCATTTCTATTGCAAACTCGCAGAACCGATACATATATGTAAGGCCCATACGTTCAATAGCATTTAAAATGATTATATAAGCCAAAGCATATTTTTCTTCATACACACAGTTATCAACCACTTCTTCCAATTTTCTATTTATTATTTCTATACCTTCATAAGGAACTTCTTCATTATCTACTTCATGACTGTAAGGTACTGGACAATACAATACCTCATTTTTTGATATAATATAATAAGAATGTTGTTGAAGTTTGGCATTAAAAATATTTGGGTATTCCCTTTTCAGAGTCTGTATGTCCGCATGTGTAATGTTATTTAGATCAACACAAATCGATTGGTTGATTGTTTGAATAAAAAGAATTATTAATTTCACTATATTCAGTAACATATTATTATTTTAAGAGAATTTTCAACAATTCTTAAATTCCTGAATAGTTCATCAACTAAAATTAAACAGTTTTTAAATAAATTATATACTAATTAAATTAAACATTTTTAACTTTATATGTCTATAAATTTTTAAAAAATTTGTGTGGATTAAAACAATTTTTTCATCAGAAATAATATTTATATACATCTTTCATTGGACATACTTTTTTTTTAAACCGGAATATTTTCCATAATACAAGGGGGTTCAAAACTCAAAAATGCACACAGAAAGTAGAACTTTTTCAACTTATTTTTAATAAATATATATTTATTAATCATTTATACATAACCCAATATTAAAACATAAATATTTGTTATATTAATTAAAAGGATTTTTTTATTATTTAACCCATATGCGAAACTTAAATTGCATATTTGAAATCGGGGTGGAAATGGGTTTAGAAAATTATATTTTGATCTCTGATGAAAATTCCTTGTAGACTATTAATTTTATATATGAATAACAAAATTTTTTTTTTAATTGTTGCATCAAGAACGTTAACTTTTATATACGTTTGTCATAAAAATAATGACTACTTTGTAATTTTTTATAATTTCTCCGTAAATATTATAATACTAAATTATTAAATATCAATTTTATACTAAATTTAATTGCTATAAAGATTTATTCAAATATTACACTTATAAATCAAAAAACATGTAATCAGGATATAAATAAGAAAATAGGAGATCATGTAGCTTTTGGATCAATCCGGCCTTTTTTTTAAAATTAAACACTATCTGCAGATTTGCATCGAAGCGTTTATTATGATAATGATTTTAATCTCTGTCAGATATAATCTATACTATACTCATGTAGGGATTAACAAAGATGTTAAATAACATGTCACAATGAATGCGTTTATATATGTTTATATGTTTTATCTTAGATGTACTGCAGTACGATAACACTCCGTGTATTTTTTTTAGTCTCGCGCTGTTCGTCAATCCAGTGACATTTTTTATTTGTACTTTTTTTTTTATGTATGTATAAAATCATTTTTCATTATTAAAAATTATTAATTATTATAAATTTTAATTGTAGTATTTCGTAATAAATATAAACACCAAAACACTACACTTAATTATGCCGCGTTCCCACTATGCCGTGACCTCACTGTGCTGGCCTCTTAATTTTTTTACTTATAGCGTAACAATGGCAAGCATATTAATGATTAATATTATATATTGGATAATATGTAAGATTTTATAATTATTAACTAATTTTATTTATTATTATTGTAATTTAAAAAAAAAAGGGTAATGGTAATTTAAATATTAAAAGAACAAAAATGTAAAATAATATTATACATCTGTATGGATATGTTGTTTAAACAGATATTAAAATAATTGAGATTCTTATGTCGGTGTTTCGAGGATTTTTCTTTTACTAACACAATCCCAAAGAAAAGAAATATTACCAAATATATATGTTTATGGAAATTTTAATTTACCAAGAATCCAGAGCAATCGCCAAACGTAAAATAACAGCTCAAACGAAATCTGCACTATATGGATTCAGTTACATCAAAAGTACTTAGCTTAATTTTATTTTTTATATTAAAGTTTTATAACCAGCATTTTTGCCTACCTTCGAATGAGTTTTCTGTAAACAAAAAATATTTTCTTTTTTTCTTTTGAGATGTGTCTGTTTACACTAACGATGTTGATGAACAAAGTGATTTTGAGAGATTCTATGTGTGAGTGTTTTTTTTACCACGTTAATCCGTTTTTTAGCTTCGATGCAAAGCTGATAAGGTATTAATTTTACCATGACATGTTTTTTTTTTTGTGTCTGTTACCACTTTTTCTCAGCTCTCACTGGACCGATTTCTTTTAACGATACGTCAAAAGATCACACATCGTATTTAGTCGAAAACATTACCCTCAAAAATTGAAAAAATTTCCCTCGTTCCCCGTAAATGCTGTCTATAGCATTTACTATTAGTTCTATATAATTCCCCTAGCTGCCCATCTAGTTGAAGACATTACCCTTAAAAATTTAAAAATTTTCCCTCGTTCCCCGCAAATGGGGGAAATATCCAAAAAAATTACAAATTTAAAAATCGACAAATTTTGTCATTTTTTTCACTTTTTTTTCTTAAAACTTCCATAACTTTTTCAAAAATCAACAAATCAACATAATTTTTTTTTAAACTAAAACCTTAGATATTTTCCTTTCATTTGATATAATTTTTTTGAAAATTTAACACTTAACCTGCTCATGAGGGGGGATTTAAAATTGCAACTTTTTTACAAAAACTAACTTTTTCAACTTAATTTTTGAAAATGTTCCGGAAATACTGCGTCCTTTAAACATATATCAAATTAAAGCTTATTTTATGTACTATAAAATGAAAAAAAAAAATTTGTCCCGACACCTTATCTTCTATGTGCAAATGGCTGTCGAAATTATAAAAAAAATGTAATATTTGCGATAAAAATCACCTTTTATAACGATGTTTTTTGTACTTAAAACTGCCATAACTTTTTCAAATATTAACTAATCAAAATAATATTTCTTTATATTGAAACCTTAGGTAAATTTCCCTTTCATTTGATAATAATTTTTGAAAATCTAACACTTAACCTGCTCATTGGGGAGGATTTAAAATAGCAACTTTTTTACAAAAACTAACTTTTTCAACTTAATTTTTGAAAATGTTCCGGAAATACTGCGTCCTTTAAACATATATCAAATTAAAGCTTTTTTTATGTACTATAAAATGAAAAAAAAAAATTTGTCCCGACACCTTATCTTCTATGTGCAAATGGCAGTCGAAATTATAAAAAAAATGTAATATTTGCGATAAAAATCACCTTTTATAACGATGTTTTTTGTACTTAAAACTGCCATAACTTTTTCAAATATTAACTAATCAAAATAATATTTCTTTATATTGAAACCTTAGGTAATTTTCTTTCATTTGATATCATTTTTTTTTGAAAATCTAACACTTATTCTGCTCACAGGGGGGATTTAAAATAGCAACTTTTTTACAAAAACTAACTTTTTCAACTTAATTTTTGAAAATGTTCCGGAAATACTGCGTCCTTTAAACACATATAAAATTAAAGCTTATTTTATTTTCTATAAAATAAAAAAAAAAAATTTCTTCCGACACCTTATCTACTATGTCGAAATTTAAAAAAAATGTAATATTTGCGATAAAAATCACCTTTTATAACGATGTTTTTTGTACTTAAAACTGCCATAACTTTTTCAAATATTAACTAATCAAAATAATATTTCTTTATATTGAAACCTTAGGTAATTTTCTTTCATTTGATATCATTTTTTTTTGAAAATCTAACACTTATTCTGCTCACAGGGGGGATTTAAAATAGCAACTTTTTTACAAAAACTAACTTTTTCAACTTAATTTTTGAAAGTGTTCCGGAAATACTGCGTCCTTTAAACACATATAAAATTAAAGCTTATTTTATTTTCTATAAAATAAAAAAAAAAAATTTCTTCCGACACCTTATCTACTATGTCGAAATTTAAAAAAAATGTAATATTTGCGATAAAAATCACCTTCTATAAGGATGTTTTTTGTACTTAAAACTGCCATAAATTTTTCAAATACTAACATATCAAAATAATATTTTTTTATATTGAAATCTTAGGTAATTTCCTTTCGTTTGATATCAATTTTTGAAAATCTAACACTTATTCTGCTCACAAGGGGGATTTAAAATAGCAACTTTTTTTACAAAAACTAACTTTTTCAACTTAGTTTTTGAAAATGTTCCGGAAATACTGCGTCCTTTAAACATATATCAAATTAAAGCTTATATATTATAAAATGAAAAAAAAATTTGTCCCAACAACCTATCTTCTATGCGAAAATGGCTACTGTATTCAAAAATATGCTATTTTAATATTAAGGTTAATGTTGCTTTTGTAATTATCCATCAATTTCTTAATATTAAACATTATCTACAGATTTGCATCGAAGCGTTTCTTATGATAGTGATTTTAATCACTGTCAGATTAAATCTATACTGGACCCAACTATGCAATGTCCCCGCTATGCCACGACCCCACTGTGCTGGATTTTTTTTTTTTATACTTTTTTTTAAATTCAATTATGAGATCAACATCATTAGTGTTTCCAAATATTTTTATTGACATGTAGTTAAATGTGATAAAAGTTTACAATATTTTCCTTTAATACACAATAATATGAGTAATAAGATGATAAAATAATTTTTGTCAAATTAACACTATTACAACATTACACTAAAACTGCCTTTTAAAATCAATTCTGTTAAAAATATATATTTTTAATGTAATTAAATAATATTCTAAATGTGTACTTATTAATAATACACGCAGAGAAAACTTGTAGAGGATTAATAATTTTCAAATATCATAATAAAAATTCTCAAAAAAATGTTCATCTTGTAGAGTTTTTAATTATTTCTAAAAGTACAAAAATTGTACATTATTTACGTTTATTAATATATAAAGTTATTATACAAGCTTTTGTGTAATTTAACAGATTTAAACGTAATTGTTTTAATATTTTATATGCAGATGTCTATTTGGATATTTTCGTTTGACATGTAACTTAAACCGTATAAAATATTAAATTTAAATAAAATAAATAGTTCAACAATTAATATTTTTATTTTTATAATCCACAACTTCTAGTTGATGCATTTAGGTTGAAAATTTACTTTGTAATAGATTTAAAACAACTCTCTTTGTTATAGCAAAGTTGAAAGCATATGTTATTCATTATAAAGATTCTTCAGCTTTATTATAAAAGCTATAGTTTGTAACGTCACAAATTCGAAAGTGGACCATTTATAATTTTTTGTTATGTATACTTATTTTTTTTATCACGCGAAATAACCTTTTCCTGACACAGCAGTGTCAACCTCTCGTTATTTTTGCCGCTGACCGCTAAATAAGACGACAAAAGAGAATAAATATAATTAAACTCGAATTGTTTATTGATATTGATCCCTCCCAAAAGACTGGTCGTTATCGATTTGAAATTGCCGTTAGATCGGTGTTGGCTCTTCTCGATCTTTCTTCTGTTATAGACCTTGCTAAAGTGCACATGTTTGTTGTCTTATTGTCACTTTTTTAGAGCCGCCAATGGCGAACTGCCAGGTCTGTTCGGCGGAGGATCCAGACTATCAGATGGGTCTTTTCGGTAACCGGGTATCGTTTTTGTTTTATAATTTATGTGATGAGCTGTATTTTATTAATTATTTTATTTTATTCTTTTTAACCTTACATAACTTTATCATATAATTATATTCGACAATGTAATGCTGGTTATTTAATAACCAGTATGAGTTTTACTTTTAATTTAATGCACAGATTTGAAACTTATTTACCTCTTGATACTAAAATACTAAAGGAATGATCCTACATTTATATACTTTTTTTTAAGTGTTTATACAATTTTCATTTTATAAATTGAAAACTTTATTATCACACAATTCAAAAGTTAATGACTAGAATTAATATGAAAAAATAATTAATTTCACAAGTTTAGGAAATTAAATTTTAGGCCTTTGTTATTATTTATATGTAAAAAAATTCAACAAGTTATTATTCTAAAAGAAATAATACATTTATCAATATCTAATAGCCCTTACTAACATCTTGATATAAGAATAGTATAAAAAAATAATTAAAATATAAAAGCTGTGGGATATCATCATCATGGGAAGCTCCCATGATGATACTTAAAATCATGATTTTTTATCTCTGCCATGGCCAAATCATTTGTCAGCCATTCGACGACAGTGAGATTGTGGCCGAGAAATTATTAGTAAAAAAATACTATAACCCGCGTTTTACTTACACCTGTTAATACAAAATGTTAAATTAGTAAAGCTGTAAAATTATGAACAGACAATATAATACAATGTTATTTTAATATTCATTAACAAAAATATTTATAAACAAATCAAATTAATATTATTTAAAGAAAGAACTTCAATAAATTTATTCATTGTTTTATAAATTTACACACAATTTATCTTCGAATTTAGTTTCACATTTCGTACATATGGCGCTATCAATGCATATACTGCAATACCAACCATGACCACATGGTATCATTACGTATTTGTTTGGAGGATTCACATCTTTTATTTGACTGCGGCAGCTTATACAACGTGCTTCTCGTCCATCGAAAAAACATCTTGGCTGTAAGGATAAAAAACCTAATTGCAAAATAGAAAAATTAGTTTTTTTCTAACACAAAAGTTTACGGGAGTGAGCAGGTATATTTAACTTTTTTTATTATTTTTACTTTTCTCTAAAGCATAATGACTACTTAAGGAAAAATAAACTGCACCAATTAAAGCAGTATTAAGTAAACAAATATATATATTTTGCATTACTTGGCACTTATTTATAGTCCTTAGTTACCTGGATTATATATAAATAACACTAGTTTACAACAAAATTGACCTATAGCATATGACAGTCATTATTTACTTAGAGTAAAAAATATATTTAGCTTTGAAAATTTTTTGATTATTGATGCATAAAACCAATAAAATTTTAAAAATGTCTATTCGTTTTAGACAATACTTATCATTTGATATTCCAACAATTTGGCGATAGCTAATGTGTCACGAAGTTGATTACTACTTCTGTTTGACTAAAATAAAGCAACATGAACGTCATATAACAGTTGAACATACACATGTAAACACCTTATTAAAACTAGTTCCCAATTCACATTCTTTTTTAGGAAACTTCAAAAGCTTAAATTATTGAGAAATGGTGGACGATTTATTAATAAAATATTCAAAAACAGGTGAACATTACTTACTATAATTTTATAATTTTCTGTACAAAAAATACATGATATTTTTAATATCATATGGGTGAATATGTCACTTAAAATACATTATCTTTTAGATTTTTTTCATAAAAATCTTGGAAATGAAAGCAATGAGCATACTGAACGTTTTCACCAACTAATAAGTGATATAAAACGTCATTACTAAAAATTTCGGGGTTAAGTAATAATGGGTGACTATTATTGGTTTCTTATAAGAGAAAGCAATAAAACATATAAAAGAAATATATCGTCTTATTCGTCCCATTTTTCTATAAATAAAATTGATTCATCGGTAATTATAATATGAACTATAAAAATATAATAATAAACATTATACATGTATTTACTTTTGAAAAACAATAAACAAAACGAAAACTCATTATTAATTTTTTTAATTACATATGAAATTTACTTTATTACTAGTTATTTTTCTAAATCTATGTTAAATTAATTTCAATTTTCTTAATTCTATTGCAAATTACTTTATAGTTTTTGAGACTTTTAATTTTTTTTTTATAAGAGAACTTATAAACTGTAAAATTAACTGAATTAAAAAATATTTAAATAAAACTATATGAAACTAAGTTGTTTAAAAAATCGAAATTTTGTCCAAAAGTGATATTTTGAGATTTTATGCAATAATTTTTCTACATTTTACAAATTATAAGCATCAAATTTCAAAAAATCTGTTATTGTTATCTATCAAACATTGCAAAAAAATCTCTTTATTTCAGATATTTAGACAAATATATTCTATAAAAAGTTATAAAGTTAACAAAAGCAGTTTTAAAAAAATATCTCCACCAAAATAAGAGTATAAAATTTGTGTTTATACTAAATTACATGGTAAAATCATATCACTTAAATGAATCATTATTTAATCAGCCTAGACCAACATATATTTTGATAATTCACGTTTTTATGTTTATTTCTAATCTACAGTTAGGTTTTTACCATCGCCTCTTTTTTACAGATTATTATTAATTTATAAAAACGAGTATTTACAATTTGAACAGATTTTATTTTTAGTAATAAAGCTGGAAGGTGTATCAAAAATATATTCGTCACACTCAAAAATAATATTTATTTGGGTTATTCTTACACTTATATTGAAATTTAGTCGATTTCGTTTTTAACACGCTTATATTAGTTTCACTTGTATGTTGTGGGATGTTTGTAACTTTTCACGCGGCACGTGTTTACGGCCTTGAGACTAAACGCACAGTGGTCTGAAATCGAATTTTAGGCGCTCATAAGTCCCATTTTAAAATGTACTCATAATGTTAAAATAATTATGAAAACTCAATTCTAGTATATTGCTTAGATAAAATATAAAATTTCAAGGTCACATGTTAACCCGGTCTTCATTTATAGCCGTTTGAAGTATAGATATGGTTATATTACGGTTATTTCAATAAAAAAAAGGTCTTTCGTTGTAAAGTTTTTTAATAAGGTAAAAAAAATTTTTTTCGATATTTTTTTTTTATTATTTTATTAAAAGTAAAGGTTAAAGATATTAAAAAAAAATGTTTTTTTGATTAAGTAATGATTGTTTTAATAATATAAAGCATTTTTTGAGACATTTTTGAAAATTAAAAGCACAATACTAAAAATTACCATATTTTACCCAAGTATCAATGCATAGATATTGTAGAGCAACTAGTCTAGATTTCAAAAGTATAATTTTTTATTGTGGTGTACAAAAATAACTGTGCATAAGGCTAATAAGATTAAACCAATTCGTACATTTTTTATTTACAATTAACTTTCATTTATTTCAATTTCTGATATTGAATTGTTTAGGTTATTCATTTCATCTTCGACTATGTTTTACTAAATTTATATCTATTCATGTTATGTTCAATGTACAAATCATTTTAGTTGTTTGACAACATTTATGACTTTTTTAAGATAGTTAGGGCTTTAACAATCGATAGACATGTCTCATTACGTTGATCTACGTTATAAATAATACAACTTGTTTGTTTCTTGTAACGTTTTATTAAGAATTTTATGTTGTATTATTATTAACAATAATACAAAATATGTATTATTAACAAGTTGTATTTTTAAGTAATTTGTTTATGAGTGATCTGATTATGTGGTCACAAATGTTAGTTACTGACTATATAAATTAACTATAATTTCATATTACAAGCAATAGTCAATCCGTCTATTTTTTTCACTCTCTCTTTTCTTTATTTCATGAGCTGACAGTTTCCTCGGGTGTCGTCAGGATGGACATGGTGAACATCTCAATGAGTCCTCTACATTTATGTAGAGGATACTCATTGACGTTGGTGACATGTCCACTATATCCTGACGCATGCGTTGGATCTGTCATGCTCTCATGTTTTTTCTCTTTTGCTCTGTTATATTATATTGTGGTTATGTCATTTGAAATTAAATATATTCCAGCAAGTAATTTATTCCAGTTAATATTGTTTTATAGCTGGTGACTAGTTCTTATCAAGAACACTGACATGATAAAAAAAAAAAAGAAATAGATCAATATGTTCAGACTTTATTAGTCATGAATTACTATACTTTATAAAGAACAAAGGCTATTTGAATGCCTGACTGTCTATAGACAACTTGTATGTAATATTGGTATCAATCACTTTATATTGTCTTAACTTTTAATTATAAACAGACTGTAAATTTCTTTGATATCCTTGACCATAACTAAATTACTATTAATCTATTTAATATCTTACTGTAGTGTTTTTTTGTTCCCTATATTTGGGACCTATGTTTTTAATTAATTAATTTGTTTTTATGTACAATTCTCTTTTAAATATTTTTATTATATTATAAGAACAAGATATAAAATTTCTTGTAATGTTTAATCAATTTTAATAACTGTTCTAAATCATATTTTATTAATTACCTTTCTCCCCTAGGATAAGGTACCAAAATCCCCGGTGCTCCGGCTCTGCCTCGGCCCAGGGTGGACCCTCTTCAGAGTTCTTGTAAGTTTAGCTTACAAACTCAAAAAATGTTTTACTTTTTGTATTTTGGACTTCATTTTCGGATTCAGCCAAAACATTTACACAAAAATGACTGTTATATGTCATGAGTCACAAAATTATTTTTATTTGTAAACAAGTGATAAATTTTATAAAATAAACCAAATATACAATATTTCAACCAACAACAATTTGTAAATCTGAGTCTTATACTTAAAAGCTTATATGTTACTAAAATTGATGTTGAGATTTTTATATAATATGTGAGGAGCAGAATGTTTTCATTAAATTGAATATAGAAAACACTTAAAATTCGAAATCTTTCCCGAGGCATGATTTTTTTAATTGGTAAAGTTGGCATATCTTAGCCTGTTATTAGTTAGGCTCAAAAATTCATTATATATGTATTGCCCAATTAAAAGAGAGTAACCTCTTGTACTCTTGAGTAATTTTTGATGTGATTATTAATTGGTCTATTGAATAATTTAAAAAATATTGGGATGGAAAAATATATAAAAGTTATATAAGGCGAAAGTTTAAAAAAAAAATTATTAGATTTGTCATATATTCGTGACTCTTCGTAAATTTATTTCTGCTCATTTTATAACCAAAAACCGTAAAACTAAAATTTTATATCTTTCTATGTGTGTCAATTTAAATTATTTTCGAAAATATATTCATAGGTAATATTAAAATATATTTCCATAAAAATGTCTTAAATACAATTATAAATCATCATTCTACAAGTGTCAACTTGAGGCAACTGTTTATTTAATATGACGAACACTTAATTTGGTTACAAATATGAAATCTTTATATGGTATAAACATTGTTTTCCCTTTTCAAATTTAAATTTGTCAATATACATTATAAAATGAGTAAAAATTTAATCAAATGCCAAAAAAATTATATTTCATTTGTTTTTATTATATATGAAATTAGTTTCCATGTATTGCTGAGTATATATTAATTATTATTGATTTAACTAAGATTTTTTATGTTATTCGATTTGCTACTACTACGCTTTACGCTCCTATTGCCCTAATTTCACATAAACTGAATTTTCTTTTAGTACAACGTACTACATAGTTTCAATAACTTATACTGAAATATTTAATTACTACAGATACTTATTATCTAAATAGAACAAAATAAATCAGCACATTGAACAGTATAAAGAGACGCTCGTTATAGTTAATTTATTAATGTTTCAGTAAATAATTATAATTTGTATACCTTTTTTAATTATTCTCGTAGGTGTTTCTATTTGAATAACTTGAGTACCTGTAATCCGTTCATGACATACAGGACACTGATTATTAAGTACATTACAATATTGACAACTCCACCCATGTCTACATGGTAAAAAAATGTGAATTACACGGACCGTACCACTATACCTCATATCCGTACACCCAGTGCATAAGGTTTGATCTGCAGCAAAAAAAAAGAAAAAATTATCAAATACTTTTATCAATATGAATTTCTACTAATTTTAAATTTTGGTTTTCAGTTCAAAAGCATTTTAAATATAATATTATTCTTTTACAACTCATTAAAAATTATAGCGAACAACTCCGAGGATTAGTTTCTTACATATGTATAGTTATTAATCAAATATATTAACAGTATAATATGATTTTATCTAAATCTATATTTAATAAATTAGCCATTATTTTTTTTATCTTGAAATTGGTTGAAAAAATTTTACAGAAAAGTTTTTCAAAAATTTTAAAATATTTTATTTTCTATAAATATTATGTTATGTAATACAACGTTATAAAAAAAATCTTGCTCCTTACTTTTATATCCAACTATTCTTTTAAAACCAGAAAAATCATTCGGTAACAAACGCTTAATATTTATATTATTATAATCTTGTGTCATTACTAAGTCGTCCATAGTAATATTATTTTTGAATTCACTTATAAAGTTTACTTTTTCTTTCATTAAATTCTTGCAGTCTAGTAAATCACTCATGTACACTTCGTCTACATTAGTAAATTTGTAATTCTCATGGTTACGTTCGTGTTTTTTGTAAACATTTAAAATGCAATCATATGGTATAGGAGAAATCCATTCTCTATTAAATATCGGTATAATTTTATAATGAAGGTTATTACTAAATTCTTTTAAGTGATCTGATATTGAAGCACCTTTTTTATTCATTTCTATTGCAAACTCGCAGAACCGATACATATATGTAAGGCCTATACTTTCAATAGCATTCAAAATGATTATGTAAGCCAAAGCATATTTTTTTTCATACACACAGTTCTTAACCACATACTTCAATTCTCTATTTATTATTTCTATACCTTCATAAGGAACTTCTTCATTATCTACTGCGTGACTGTAAGGTACTGGACAATACTTCACTCCATTTTTTCGTTTTATATAATAAGGATGGTTTTGAAGAATGTCTTGCATAATATTTCGGTATTCCATTCTGAGTGTTTCTAAGTGCTGAAATGTGATATTATTTAGATCGACTTCACAAATCGAGTGATTGATTGTTTGAATAAAAAAAATTAATAATTTCAATTTATTGAGAAACATTATTACTTTAAGAGAATATTCAACAATTCTTAAAATTTAATATCACAATAGTTTATCAATTAAAATTAAACAGTTTTGGAATTAATTATATACTAATCAAATATTTTTGAATTACAAGAATTACTGTAATACAGTTTTTATAAGCTCCTACAAGTGTATTTTAAATACCAGACCAAAATAAAATTTTATTATGTACTTTAATAATATATGAACAATTGTAATCTATAATATAATTTATTAATTATTTATATATGCAAAAATACGGATTTTTTTATATGAAATGATTGATGGAAAAAAGCAAATGTTCATTTAAAATAAATAACTATATTACTTTTAAATCTATTTTACAGTTTATTTTTATTTAACTATTTCATATTAATACACGTTTAATTTAATTTTTTTAAATATTTGCTAGACTATAAAATTACTATTTTTTAACAGTAATTTTATAAACTACAATATAACATGTTATATAATTATTTAAAGCTAAAGAAGAACAAATTCAATAATTTTCGTTAAATTTGATCAAGTAACGTAAATTTAGATTTCAAACTATTTTTCGTATAATTTATGTTTTAAAAATGCAGTTAAAGGTTTGTGATACTTGGTCTCAAAAGAAAGTACAACAATACACTGCACTAGTTTATGATTTTATTCGCTCAGAGCCTTATTAACTAAATAACAATAATTAAAACAGAATATAGATAAAAAATATAAACCAAAGGAACAATAAGATTACGTTAAACTTAAAGTAAGTTTTATAAGACTGTAGTAAGACCAGCCAGAATATGTGGTTAGAATGTTGATCGGTTGACAAGACAGTAGAGCAAAAATGAGTATTGTAGAGATGAGAATGCTTAGATAGATGTGTGGAATAACTAAAGAAAATTGGATAAGGAACGAACCATAAGAAGGAATATAGGTGTAGTATCAATCCTGGATAAGATGAAAGAAAATAGACTAAAATGGTTCGATCATGATATTAGAAGAAAGGCGTCGGAAACTACGAGAACAGTTATGACAATGAATGTTGAAGGAAAAAGAGATAGAGGAAGTTCAAAAATGTAATAGAGGGATGTTATTGAATGCGATATGAGGACGGCTGATATTTGCGTAGATTTATGGGAGATTGTATCAAATTGAAGTTTTGGATAAGGGTGGCTGACTCCAAGTAGTTGGTATAATAGTGAGGTAAAATATTAAATTAAAATTTGTAATTTTTTTGGAAGTTTCCCCCACGGGGAACGAGGGAAATTTTTTCAATTTTTGAGGGTTATGTTTTTGACTGAACACGATTTGTGATCTTTTGACGTATCGTTGGACGAAATCGGTTTGGTGAGAGCTAAGAAAAAGTGGTAACATACACAAAAAAAAACACATCATAATAAAACCAATACCTTCTCAGCTTCACATCGAAGCTAATAACTTTAATAAATTTTTTCATTATTTTATAAATTTACATACAATGTACTTATGGGATGGTCTCACTCACAATATGAACAATCGTTTTGTGAAATGCAATTAATGCAAAACCAACTATGGCCACAAGGTAACATTACGTTGTTTTTTTGGAGTATCCACATATTTTATTTGACTTTGGCAGCGTATACAACGTGCTTCTTGATAATGTAAGTAATATCTTGGCTGTAAGGGCATATATCCTAATTGCAAATATTGAAAATTAGTTCATTTATATGAACAAATTATATTTTATTTGCTTATATGATTTACGAAATTAGTCTCAATGCGTTTTGAAAAGCTATTGGTTTAACTTTGTAGGTTATTTTTTTTTATGTTACTCGACTTGACATATACTACAATATTGCTCTTACTGGAACAATTTTGCTCTAGTTGAATTTCGAAATATTTGATTTTTATTAATCAAATTAAGCTAATAAGATAAATTAAGAGATCAAAAAAAAAAGAAATTATACGAAGTCTCGATACTTTGAGTTATCAAGCTTTAAAACGAAAAATGATTTGAATATCGTTAAAAATGGCTAATTTTGAAGTAATTTTCAAAGCAACGTAGTTAATAAAGACATTCTGTCGACTAGTCTTCTATTAGTAATCGGCCTCTAAAATAGATAACAATGTAATTTTTAGTGAATATATTAATTCAGCGGCGTAGCAAAGGGTGATCTGAAGAGGCTGTTGGCCCCCACCCAATTAAAGTATATTGCTATAACGCTTGTAAGAAATATGAGATAAGAAAAAGATATTTAGACCACTCAAGTTAAAACACCAAATATATTTATTTTTCCATTAGTTGTTCATAGATAGTTAATTCAAGAAAGTTTATTATTTTCCTTGGATTGCCATTAATTTATAATACAACGTACTACTAGTACATAGTTTCAATAATTTATACTGAAATATTTAATTACTACAGTTACTTATTATGTAAACCAGTTGGGTAAATCTTATGAAACTGAAAATAGAAGATTATTGTCAATGAAAAATAAGTTTCGTAGAAATCCAAAACTGAAACAACTATATGTGAAATTTATTAGGGAATTTGAATCACATAAAAAGTGTAGGTGTCGAATCAACAGATATATACCGGAAAAATTTGTTATGTAGCTCACCATGGTGTACTTAATGAAAATAGTAACACTAGAAAATTGCGTGTAATATTTGACGCTTTAACAAAAACAGAAAGTGAAATTAGTTTAAATTGACACTTTATCAAAAAGGCCGGTTATTCAGGAACATTTAATTTATATATTAACGCGTTTTATAATTTATAATTATGTTTTAACCTCCAATATAAAGAAAACATACAATGACAAATATTAGTCGTAAATAAACATCGCGTTTGTCAGCGTATTTTATGGAGAGAAGAAGAAAATAAGCGTTTATTGTTTACTCATTCTTATGGTCGGTACTTGCTTCGTATATTGCCACGGGTTACTTACAAGTATTGTCTATAACTGAAAAAAAAAGGTATCCAGGTGCGGCCGCCGCTATCGATCACAATTCTTATGTGGATGATTTTTTGAGTGGTGGTGTATCGCAGGCGGCAGCTACTGAAGTACGTGCGGTTTTAACGAAATATTGTCAGTAGCTGGTCTTGAATTAGGTAAATGGTCGTCGAATAACCTGCAGTTGATTAGTAGTGTGATTGGCATTAAAGAAAATTTGACCCAATTAACTGATTAAAATAATTTTATAACGAAGATATAGGATTTATGCTGAAACTTTCATAAAGATATTTTACAGTATAAGATCGATAAAAATTAAAATTTGACTACAGATATTTTGTCCAAATGTGATATTTTATCAGAGATCGTTCGAATTTATGACTCGTTAGGATTGATCGAACCAGTAATTATAAAGGCTAAATTAATATTATAAAGTCTATGGAAGGAGCGTATTACATGGATCGAGCCGGTAACTGATGTAAAGAATGGATAAACTATAAAACTGATTTAAACGCGTTAAATATCTTAAAAATACCACGACAAATTACAATAAAACATAGAATGGTAAAAATTGACGTTCATGGTTTTGCTTATGCAAGTATAAATGCTTATGATTGTTGTTTATATCTAAGGTGTTTCGACGAGTATAGTTATAATTATATTAATTTAATCAGCACTAAAAGTAAAATAGCCCATTTAAAGGAATTATCTCAAAGAGATTAGAATTTTGTGTTGCCGTATTACTTGCGCGCCTAGGTGACAAAATTATTCCCAAGTTTTATTACCTATAAAAAATTTTTTTTTACTGTTCTGATTCAAAGGTAGTATTGTGTTGGATATCGTCACTTTCGTGTCAATGGAAAACCTTTACAGCGCACCGCGTTTGTGAAATACAAGAATTGGCCGCTCCGTCAGACGGTATTACGTTAACGGCAAAGATTATCCGGCCGACATAATATCCCGCGGGTGTAGCGTATCTGAAATAGATAACATGTCAGTGTGGAGGCATGGGCCTAGTTGGCTTTTGTTGAATGAAAAATAATGGCCAAGTACATCAAAAGAGGAGATTGTTAGTAAGTTGAAAGAAATGCCGGAAGCTAAATGTTCCATAAGTTCTGTGTGTTCCGCCAACGAAATGTTTAAGTTACTATCAAAGTTTTCCTCGTTCAATGAACTATTGCAGTTTGTGGTACGTTGTTTCAGATTCAAACACAACGCACTATATAATATTTACAAAACAAAAAATACATTTCATACTTTTAAGCAAAATAGCGTTATCAGTGCCATAGAAAAAAACGCAACAAAGTTTTGTTTAGTTAAGCTAGATCCGGGGAAAGCATTTCCAAGCGAAATAACTGATAAACGAAATAATAATTGGAAAAAATTGAAAGAATATCTCAAAAGCAAGTAAATTATATCATCTTGGACCATTTTTGGATGAAAACAATTCGTTACGCATGGGTGGGCGTTTAAAAAACACAGACAATATTTCGGCGATTCAAAGGAATCCGATGATATTACCGTCACATTGTCCGTTTACCAAATTGTTATTTAGGAAGAAAAACATTAAGTAAATGCATAGTGTTTTTAGCGTCCGTTCGACTAATTATTGGCCTGTTAACGGTCGAAACCTCTCACGTTCTACCGTTAATAGATGTGTTGTTTGTTTTCTTCCCAACCCTCAAGTGGTGCAACCGATCATGAGCGGATCTATCAAGGGACCGAGACCGAGCTTTTCTAGTCCAAGTATAGATTTCTGTTGTCCATTATTGTTAAAAATAGGATTGAAGAAAAATTCACCGGTTACTAAAGTCTATGTGTGTATATTTATTTGTTTTGCGACACTTGCTTTTTGAGCGATTTAAGTACCGATATTTTTTTTTTGTATAATACTGTTTACCAATTATGTATTTTGAATTTTATACTTGTAAATAGTTTTGAAGCCAATTCTTCAAGGCCGGTGGTATGTTGTGGAGACGTTATCGTAGTTTTTTTATTATTATCATTATTGTAAAAAGCAGAAGATCGGTTTTTCTATGCGGAGAAAAAACCAGTCTCCAAATAAATTCTACAATATACAAGTATAACAAAAATTAATGTATGAGTTTTAAAGTTAATCGACCTAATTAGCCTTTTTCTCATTAGAAAATAAGAAAATTCAGTCTCCATTCGCAACAACTATATTACTTATAAATATATTTTGAACAGTTTATTTCGATTTAAATGTTTTATATTGATACCAATTTAATTAAAATGTTTTCTGATATTTTGTCAAATTAACTATTCTAATGAAAATTCTTAAATAATTTATAAAAATAACTTTTTAATTATATATTTTAAAACGGTAATTTATGAACTATAATTTAACGTGTTATACTGAAAAAATTTATGGATATTATATGATTTATATCGATTTGACATTGATAAATGTTTAGATTTACAATTCAATAAGGAAAGAGTGAGACGAGTTGTTTGATGCAAAATGATCTTTCCCGATTTAAAAAAAAATAGTAATGTTTGTAAACTTTTAATAAAAGTAATTGAAGAATAATTTTTTATGAAAACGTGTATTGATTTATACATTTTTCAAAAAGTTATAGAAATATAAAGTTAAAAATGGAGAATTTTAACACAAAAATAGTATACGATAGCTATTTTCACCGTGAAGATAAAATAAAGTCCGACATTTTTTTTTTCAAAATGAAGTATATTGTTTTGTACTAGGCAGCTAGACCGTAAGACTGCTAGTTGTACACCGCACTAGAATGCCGTTTTATCTTAAGCTTGTTTAAATCGTTATTATTGAAGCGGGAATGGGTCATCTGAGGGATGACGACTAACTGTACATCCAATAAGTAAACGAGAATAGACAATAATTGAAAACAAATAACCACATATATTAGACATTCTTCAAAGAGTATTTTAAATTTAAAGGGTACCGGGGAGCCCTTAAATACTAGTGGCCGGCGAAGCGGCATAAAACAAAATAGTTAATCTCAATTAAGACAAACAATAAATAACATTAGAAATAATATAAACTCAGCTGAATATATGAAGTTAATGATGATGATGAGTGGACTGTATGAGATCTTGTGGCAATGGTGTCGAACATCTGAGAATGACGAGTCAGAGTGTAAATCTAAGTACGTATTGGCAGATGAGAACAGACCGCAAAAAAGCGACTACGGCAATGAAGATATTTAGAGATGGTCAGAGCCCAATCACTAGTGGCGTGAAAGGGCACATAAACTTTGACAACAAGGGTGTAATAAACAAATAAAAGAATAACGGCGTACAATGGCCGAACAATTTACCATTCAAGCGAAGGCGCTTGTTACAGAAAAGGAGTGACACACAAAAAACAATTGACTGACTGACTTACGACAATAAACTGTACACGGATGACAATTGACACGAAGGTCATCGATTTTCCGTGCTGGGTGGGCAAAGGGGTGAGTAAAGCAAGACGCTGGAGATCAGCTGTCACACGATATAATATAATCAATGATGTTTGTAATAACTGGTCTACTATATCTTCGCTAGAAGGATTCTGTACCAAACATATATTACTTAAGCTTTAATTTAAGGAATATGTAAAAGTGTTAGTAGTTCCGGAACACTTTCAAAATTTAAGTTGTAAAAGTTAATTTTTTGTGAAAAAGTTTTGAATCCCTTACTATGGGCAGCTAGAAGAATTATAAAGAACTAATAGTAAATGCTATAGACAGCATTTACGGGGAACGAGGGAAATTTTTTCAATTTTTGAGGGTAATGTTTTCGACTAAATACGATGTGTGATCTTTTGACGTATCGTTGAAAGAAATCGATTCGGTGAGAGTTGAGACAAAGTGGTAACAGACACACAAAAAATAAATAAAATAATTNCAGCATTTACGGGGAACGAGGGAAATTTTTTCAATTTTTGAGGGTAATGTTTTCGACTAAATACGATGTGTGATCTTTTGACGTATCGTTGAAAGAAATCGATTCGGTGAGAGTTGAGACAAAGTGGTAACAGACACACAAAAAATAAATAAAATAATTTTAAAAAAAAAAAACACATAGATTCCATTCAAAAAATAGCTGACAAAGTACAAAAATCTCAAAAGAATAACTATTAAATTAAATACAATTTCGATATTTGTTCCATATGAGTTAGTGCTACTAAAATTTCTAATTACACTAACAGTAAAATCCCTTAAGTACAGCTGTTCATTTAAAATTCTCTGCTTAGTGCAATGTCCTGTTAAGCCTATTTATTTTTAACTTTCCAGGAGAGGCAAAATACCAAAAGTTTTTTATTAAAATCAATGTTAAAACTTTTTACTCTAAATTGATTATTTTCTCAAATTATAAGATTGTAGTACTTCTATTTGTACTGAATTACACATAAAAAATTATTTCTATTCAAAATTATCAAAAAATTATTTTCTGAAAAAGATTAGACCGATCTGGTTGTTGCAACAAGACCTCCAACTATAAAATTCAATTAGTTTTAGATTGAAAACTAATTAAAAACGTAATTTATGTAAAACATGCTTTAAATTTTTTTTTTTTTTTAGTTACAATTAGATGCATTAATATTTAAATAGTATGAATAGTATGATATAAACTATTAATATTTCATTGCAAAAATTTTATTAGTAATATTTAACATTAATAATCCTAATATAGCTATTAATCATGCATTAAATATAAAAAACATGTTTTTGCTCTCCTAATCGTTTTCTTTAAAAGAACAATTTTTATTATAGATATTAAACTGTAATTTTATTTATTCAGTTTAAAAATATATATTAAATTTTCATATAATTTATATATGTGTTTTGACTTTTAAAAGTTAAAACCATAAAAGGTAAAAAATAAAACTGTAAAATACTTAATAATTTAAATAAAAAAAAACGTTACTACATAATATTAAAATAGTAATGACGAATAACACTAATAAATAAAAGTCAGTCACATAAAAAGCATTTTTATAGTGTTATAAAACCAAATTTTTGGTTTTTATTAAGACTATTTTGAAGGTAGTATAAATAAACAATCTAAATAAAAAAGCTCTAGGGATACAGTTATCATGATGATATTTAACATAAAGGATTTATCATCTCTCATGGCCAAATCATTTGACAATCAATCGACGGGAGTAAGAATGCAACCAAGAAATGACTAGTCATAAAAATACCATTACCCGAATCTTAACTCCAGCTATTACTTTAAAATATTAAATTACTAAAACTGTAATATTATGAACAGACAATATAGTACATTGTGAGAATAATATCCACTAGCAAGCATAAAGTAGTAATGAATGGCCCAGTAATTAAATCATGTTTTCATAATGAATAATTTTGAATATCTTTAGATAAAATTGATGTAAAAATTTGTTGTATATTTAAAAAACAAAAATAGTTTCAAATAAATTAATATAATATAAATTAAAAAAATAACTTTATAGATTTTTTCATTGTTCTATAAATTTACACACAATGTACTTGTAGTATTCCAGTCACAAGCTGAACAATTTTTTATTGAAATGCAATTATTGCAATACCAACCATGACCACATGGTCTCATTACGTGTCTGTTTGAAGGATTTACATCTTTTATTTGACTGCGACATTCTATACATCGCGCTTCTCGTCCATCTAAGACACATCTTGGCCATAAATTCCTATACCCTAATTGCAAATATTGAAAATTAGTTCGTTTTCTAGCATAAAAGTTTACAGAAGTAGAGGTAGTTTATATAATATTTAGAATGTTTTTCCCTTATTGTTCTAATGTAATTCTTATTTGGAGTATTAAATATAAGACCAGTCTATTCAATATAAATCAATACAGTGAAATACATTATACTCGTATATAACTATAGTGTACTTAATCTATAGATACAATTAAAAGAATTTTGTTTGTTTATGTAAAAAGCTGAATTTTGGCAAAGACGAAATTGTTATATTAGAAATTTTGGTAAGACTGTTTTGAGTTGGGCGGACGAGAAAAAAAACAGCTTCCAAATTATGTAAATGTTTTTATTAAAGACACCGCAATCCTTATCCAGAATGTATAAATTTATTAGTTAAATTTTTTAAAACTAATCATAAAAATGAATTTTGAACAATTGATTTTTCTCGTAAATATGTTATAAAATTAATTCATTTTTTATCCATCTTAATACTTTTTATTTTATGGCCTAAAAAGAAGTACTTGTCCAACATGATTTTTATTTACCTATAACTTTTGGTAATATTAAAATCTCCAGATTTTATCAGTTACACCAATAGCTGGAATCTAGATTATAAAATATTATCTAGCAGAAAACTAAATTTAAAAAACCCAGCACAGGGGGGTCGCGGCACAGTGGTAACGTGGCATAGTTGGATCAAGTATAATGATATCTGACAGTGATTAATCACTATAAAAAAAAACGCTTCGATGCAAATCTTTAGATAGTGTTTAATTTTAAAAAATTGGTGGATTATTCCAAAAGCTTCATAAACTGCTAGTTCCTTATTAATATCCTGATTAAGATAAAGTATGTCGAATGAAAAAGGGATTATTAAAAAATAGTNTCCTGATTAAGATAAAGTATGTCGAATGAAAAAGGGATTATTAAAAAATAGTATTTCCCATAAAAAAATTATATTGATCAATACACTTTTCAATAAGTTATAACATTATAAAGTTAAAAATGTAAAATATAAAATCGAAAATTTGCACACAAAAATAGCATTCGGTAGCTAATTTCACCCTGAAGACAAAATAAAGTCCGAAATTTTTTTTTTCATAATAAAGGATATTACATTAGCTTTAATGTAAGATATATATGCATCTATAAAAAAAAGAATTATATTGATATATTTATTTTTAAAAAAGTTACGGCAGTTTTTAGTAAAAAAAATTGAAAAAATTTCGAAAATTAGCCATTTTTAAATTTGTAATTTTTGCGGAGGTTTCCCCCATTTACGGGGAACGAGTGAATTTTTTTCAATTTTTGAGGGTAATGTCTTCGACTAGATACAATTTGTGATCTTTTGACGTATCATTAAAAGAAATCGGTTCGGTGAGAGCTGAGAAAAAGTGGTAACAGACACAAAAAAAAAACACATCTTAGTAAAACCAATACCTTCTCAGCTTCGCATCGAAGCTAAAAACTTGATTACTTTATATAAATGTTCAGATACGATACAAAAAATAATTAAATATTCCTATTTTACTTTTATATACCGAATAGGACGGGTAACCTAAAAATTGTAGAACAATAGAATCAAATGCCGGTCACTTCACATCGAAATAAAACGTGTTATCCACTGAATAAGTTAAGTCAACTTTCACTACACTATTATAAAATTTCATAATTTATTGAAAATCAGACCTGAATAATTCATATAACTCTATTCAATAAAATAGTTAATAAGAATTAACTAAAAATGTATTGTCCTTTTTTATTAATAAATAGTCAATAAAAAAAATAAAATGAGTAAAAATTTAATCCTTAGCCAGAAAAATTGTACTATATTTGGTTATATGACGTATGACATAAGTTTCAAGGCGTTTTGAGAAGCTATTGGTTTAACTCTGTAGGTTTTTTTTTTAAATCACACACATTACCACTATAATTATCATTCCTACTAAGCACAATTTTGCATATTGAATTTCAAAAAAATGTCTTTTTTAAATCCTACACCAAATTTATCTAACACAATGAATTTTGAGATAAAAAAGTAAAACTATTTGAGTATTGATTTCCAGGATTTATCAAGCAATAAAACGAAAATTACACATTTTTCATTAAAATTGGGCAATTTTAAAATATTTTGCAGAGCATCAGAATTAATAAAGAAAGACGAACCGACAACTTGTCTTCTATGAGTAATAAAATAGACAACCGTGTAATTTTTGGTGAATATATTAATTCAATGGCGAAACTTAGGGGGAGCTTAAATGGCTGTTGTCCCCCTCCCATTTACATTTTATGACTTTAATGCTAGTAAGAGTATGTGATAAGAAAAAATTATTTAGACTCCTCAAGTTAAAACATCAAACATAAAAGACATTATAAAGAAACTATTGTAATATTTTTCTTTATTTATATTTCACTAATTAATTATATTTTATATACCTTTTCCAATTATTTTCGTAGGAATTTGTATATGAATATCTTGAGTACATGTAATCTCTTGATGACAATCAGGGCACTTTGTCATTAATTGAAAACAATATCTACAGCACCAGCCATGTCCACATGGTAAAAAAATGTGAATTTCCGAAAACATACCAATGTTTTTCTTACATATAGTACAAGAGGTTTGATCTACAGAAAAAAAGATTGTTAAATACTTGTATCCGTATTAACTACTAGAAATTTTAAAATATACTTTTCAGCTCAAAAGCATTTTAAGTATTTTCTTATTGCTTTTAAAATTTATTAGAAACTATAGCCAACAACACCTAAGATATGTTGCTTAAACATGTTTAGTCTTTAATCGAATATATATTTATAGTATAATTTAAATATTTTTTTTATCTATACTTAATAGATTAGCTATTAATTATTTTATCTTGAAATTGAATGATAAGTTTTTACACAAAATAATTTCATAAATTATAAAAATACATACACTTTTTTTTTTCGTAAAATATTATATTATGTAATAAAACGCTATAAAAAAAACTTCTTTCTTACTTTCATCTCCAGTTAAATGTTTGAAAGAAGGAAAATCTATCTTTAATATCAATAGATCATGAATAATTCCATTATTATATATATGTGTAGCTTTTAATTGGTTTATAGACATATTATTCATTGATTCTTTGTAAGGTTCCGTTAAAAAGTGCACTTTATCATTTATTAAATTCATGCACGTAAGTAAGTCATTTCTGTAGTCTTCGTCTACATTATTATATTTGTTTTCATGTATTTTGTAAACATTTAAAATACATTCATACGATTCAGTAGAAATTATTTCTCTATTTAGTATCGGAACAAGCTTAGCAAGAATTCTACCAAAATCTTCTAAGTAATCTGTTATTGGAGCACCTTTTTTATTAATTTCTATTGCAAACTCGCAGAACCGATACATGTATGTAAAGCCCATACTTTCAATAGCGTTCAATATGATCGCATAACCCAAAATATATTTTTTATATGCCACACAGTTATTCACCACTTCTATCAATGTTTTATTTATTATTTCTATACCTTCATAAGCAACTTCTTCATTATTTAATGTGTGACTCCAAGGTAATGGACAATACTTTATTCCATTGATTTGTTTTATATAATAAGGATGATATTTAAGAATGACTCGCATAATATTTGGGTATTCCATTTCAAGAGTTTTTACGTCCTCGTGTGTGATATTATTTAGATCAACACAAATCGATTGGTGGATTATTTGAATAAAACACATTATTAATTTCACTTTATTCAGTAACATATTATAATAGAATATTCAACAATTATTAAATTTCACAATAGTTCATTAACTATAATTAAATAATTTTTAAATAAATTATATACTAAAATATTTTTGAATTCCAAAATTTACTGTAACAACAGTATTTATAAGTAGTAGTCACAAGTGTATTTTAAATACCCGATTAAAAATAAACTTTTATTATTTAGTTTAATAATATATGAACATTTATAATTTAAAACATAATTTATTAAACATTTATACATTCAAACAACCTCAGTATTAATATTTTTATTTATTTATAAGGTAACAATAGCAAGCATATTAATTTATTGGTTAATATGTAAAATTTTATAATTAATAAATAATTATGTTTATTATGCTGATTCTGTCTTTAAAAAAGAATTCTATTAAAACAAATAATCAATACTTATGTTGTTCAATAGTGTTGTAAAAATTTATTTTCATTTTATTTTGTTTGTGACTTGTGTTGTCAAGTCACGTCTTTCTTTTTTATAACTATATAGAAAATTAAATAAGCTACAATTTGATTTATTTTTGAATAGTGTAGATATTCCATTGTAAATTAGTTCAAAATTAATGTCAATTTTAAATGTCAATAATGTTAATTGGTTTTAATGTCCAATAATTTATAGATATATAGATAATTTTAATTTTTTCATCTTTTAGTGGTTTGTTTTAGCTTTAAATTAATGTATATTAACTCAAAAAAAAAATAAATATAAAATTTAATTAATGATTAAATTTGATTTATTGAAATTAGTTAAATTGGTTTTGTATGAGCATGAGAATACATGAGATACTATAATATTTATTAAATAAAATAATTTTCTCTCGGTATGTGAGTACGAGGATTTTATGAGAAGATGTAAAATATAGAAAAGCAAATTGATCTTCTTCTTCTTCTATCTCTTCTTCCTTCAACATTCATTTCTATAACTGTTCTTACAGCTTCCAATTCTTCTCTCCTCATAACATGACCAAACCATCTAAATCTATTTTCTCTCATCTTATCTACGATTGAACACTTTTTATACACCTTATATAATGATAATCTTTAGACCTTTTTTCTCTTATCTTTGAAAGTCTATAGATTTCTTTCTCGCCTTCCTTTGTTCCTAGCCTATCATACAACTCATCATATCTCTTAAACTTCGCCTTACTTACTGCACACTTGGCTTTTTTGCACAATCGTTTATACTCCATTCAGTCTTCTCTCCTTTTTCTCTTCTGCCATACTTTGATTGCTTGAAAAGCAAATGGATGTTTGAAAATTTATTAATATAATAATAATTTGAAATAGACATTATTGTGATTAATTATAATCGTACCAATAGTTATCTAAGCTTGTATTGACTGTGAGTCGTGTCAATAAATACCTCGAGTAGTATAGGAACCACAAATGGGGTTTTCTATCTTCGCAGGACAGTCTTTATTAGTATTGACTACACAGATAACTCACTTAAAGATTGGACTAGGCTGGATAACTTCGTACAAACGTTATTGATTCTCTTTATTTCTTTAGAAAATATTTCATTCTAGAGATCACTTTATTTTTCAAGCTTCCTGCTTAATTTATATACACATATTTAACTTTAAACCTTATAAATCTTTTGTAAAATATAATTTACCTTAATAATGTCAGGAGTAAGGTTAAAAAAATTGTGTATACAGAGTGATCCAAATGAAAAATATAAAAATACAGAGTGATTCAAATGACAAAAAAAAAACCCAGCACAGGGGGGTCGCGGCACAGTGGTGACGTGGCATAGTTGGATCAAGTATAATGATATCTGACAGTGATTAAAATCACTATAAAAAAAAACGCTTTGATGCAAATCTTTAGATAGTGTTTAATTTTAAAAAATTAGTGGATTATTCCAAAAGCTTCATAAACTGCTAGATCCTTATTAATATCCTGATTAAGATAAAGTATGTCGAATGAAAAAGGGATTATTAAAAAATAGTATTCCCATAAAAAAATTATATTGATCAATACACTTTTCAATAAGTTATAACATTATAAAGTTAAAAATGTAAAATATAAAATCGAAAATTTGCACACAAAAATAGCATTCGGTAGCTAATTTCACCCTGAAGATAAAATAAAGTCCGAAATTTTTTTTTCGCATAATAAAGTAGATTACATTAACTTTAATTTAAGATATAAATAAAAGTGTCAGACTTTCCGGAACAGTTTCAAAATTTAAGTTGAAAAAGTAAATTTTTTGTGAAAAAGTTGTCATTTTAAATCCCCCCCTGTGGGCAGGTAAAGGGTTAGATATAAAAAATATATATACCAAATGATAGGTTAAGACATCATGCATCTACAAAAAAAAGAATTATATTGATCCATACATCATTCAAAAAGTTATAGCATTATAAAGTTAAAAATATAAAAAAGAATTTTTTTACAAAAATCGTTTTTTTTTTATTAAGTTTAATGCCTGTTTTCACCATGAAGATAAAATAAATTCCAAAATTTTTTTTACCATTATAAAGTATATTACATTAACTTTAATTTAAGATATATATAAAAGTGTCAGACCTTCCGGAACACTTTCAAAATTACGTTGAAAAAGTTCTACTTTCTATATGCATTTTTATGTTTTGAATCCCCCCTGTATTTAGGGAAATGGTCCGATTTAAAAAAACAGTATGTCGAATGAAAGATCTATATAAATACTACTTCTCATAAAAAAATTGTAATGATTCATACATTTTTCAAAAAGTTATAGCATAATAAAGTTAAAAATGGAAAATACAAAATCGAAAATTTTCACACAAAAATAGCATTCGGTAGCCATTTTCACCATGAAGATAAGATAAAGTCCGAAATTTTTTTTTNGGTAGCCATTTTCACCATGAAGATAAGATAAAGTCCGAAATTTTTTTTTTTCATGATAAAGCATATTACATTAGCTTTAATTTAAAATATATATTAAAGTGTCAGACCTTCCGGATCATTTTCAAAATTTAAGTTAAAAAAATTAATTTTTTGTGAAAAAGTTGTCATTTTTAATCCCCCCTTGTGGGCAGGTTAAGGGTTAAATTTATGAAAAAAATATACCAAATGAAAGGTAATGATATTATGCATCTATATAAAAAAGAATTATATTGATATGTTTATTTTTGAAAAAGTTATGGCACTTTTAAGTAAAAAAAATTGAAAAAATTTCGAAAATTAGCGATTTTTAAATTTGTAAATTTTTTGGAGCTTTCCCCCATTTACGGGGAACGAGGGAATTTTTTTCAATTTTTAAGGGTAATGTCTTCGACTAGATACGATTTGTGATCTTTTGACGTATCATTNCAATTTTTAAGGGTAATGTCTTCGACTAGATACGATTTGTGATCTTATGACGTATCATTAAAAGAAATCGGTTCGGTGAGAGCTGAGAAAAAGTGGTAACAGACACAAAAAAAAAAAAAAAAAAAAATAAACACATCTTAGTAAAACCAATACCTTCTCAGCTTCGCATCGAAGCTAAAAAATAAATATACTTCAATTTTCTATCGAAAATCGTATTTTGTCAAGCAACTTGTTGGATTCGTTGAAAGTTCTTAAGATAAAGTATTAGTGACAGTTTTTATGCCCTTTTATGTTAAATTTAATTCATCTATATGTGCAACAAGTGTCACGACCTTTTACTATTATCTGTTTATCACTCAATTGTGTTATTTATTACTTATTATTTTACTTAAAATTTATGATTTGTAACAACTAAAAATTTCTTATAGTTATTACATTAGATTTGGATTCAATGCATTTTGAGACATATTCCTCGGAATAGTTTAAAGAATTAACATTTATATTTATTTTGATGACTACTAAACAATAATTCATAGACTACTGAATAATGAGTGGTGTATGTATTATAACAGAGTTCGTATATATTATTCGAGTACCAACAAATAATTTAATAGATGAATTTTTAGTTATCCTTAAAATTTTCATGTTATAATACTTATGGTCTAATCATCCTCTAACACCTTTAATATAATTATGTGTTTTTATTAAATCCTTAGTAAATAAAAACCTGCAAGATTAAAAAATTATAATATGACCTAAAATTACTAAATTTAAAAACTCGTTCTTTACGAAGAAACATTTTTATAAAATTCATAAATATTTGTCCTTTTTAACAAATTAAAAACCCGTTTTTGGTGAAGTTCATTTATGAACATTTATGTAAAAAAAATAATTTCTAACTAAAAATTTATTTACGCTTGCCATTAATATTGAAGAAATAGCAATAAATGATTTATTTATTATTTCTCAAAAATGCTTAAAGTATTAATGAAGTTAATGTCGTAAATTTCTACTCGTCTATAGGAGTAAAGATATTTTGAATTTGTCATAATTTGACGTATTGTATTGAATTGTAATATTATTATAGTGATAGCAAGGATTTTTTAATAATAAAATAAATATTATTTTTTTTAAAGCAGTTTTCATATTTTGTAGAAAAAATATTATTCGTAATGTTTAAGTCATTTACGATTTTGAACATACATTATTTTTATTATTTTGGTTCTTGGAAACACCTTTAACATACAAATTGTAATAAATTGCGAATTTTTTTTTTTTTAATTAGAATCTGCGCACTAAATTCTTTCTGAAATAATTTTTTTTACCAAATAATATATTAATATATTAAAAATGACGTAAGTATTTCAACTACAACACATTAAACGTTTAGTTTAATTATATCTATTTATCGAAAAAACTTGGAAAAATATTATATCCATATAATATAATATAATATAATATAATTAATTAATATTTTACTTATAGCATCTATTTAAACACCAAGAGATTACTAAAAGTTCTACTTAAATAATTTATTATGATAAAAATGCAAAAAAAAATTTAATTTTAAGGAAATTTAGAAGTATTCTCACATATATACTCTTAATAGTAATTCTATAACCTCATATGAGCAAAATCGGTCTAGTGGGGTCACAAGTCTTGACGTACTAGATAAAAAAAAAAAACGGCCAAGTAAATAACTTCTCAGTTACATATCGAAACTAATTATTTTACTTAAAATTTTTGAATATATCTCAGGATTTCTGAAAATTTGAAACGTATACAAAATAATACATTTTTAAGAGTACTATATTATGAAAAAAATTTAAAACTTCGCAGTGACAGTTTTTCAATGAGTTTTTTTTTACTTAAATACCAAAATTGCAATATTTCTGTAAAAATTCGTAATGATTTTTTTATATTACTATAACTTTTTCAATAATATTGATGAAATTTTTACAGAATATATTAGACACAAACATTTTTTTTTTTAAATTCCATTTTCAGAAAAGCTAACGAAAAAATTAAGTATAACAAGGATTTGAGTGCGACCCTCATCTTATAACTATACAAAATTCCCAAATATTTCATGTTTTTTACTAACGAATATTAACAAATATATACGAATTTTATCCTTAACTTCTTTAACACATACTATGCACCTTTCTCGTATTACGCAATCATTACAGTACCATCCATGACCACAAGGAATAATTATGTATTTATTTTTTGGTACAGCATCCTTTATCAGGCGAAGACAGCTTTTATAATATGATATAAATACATCAAACAAAGTCAACAATTATAATCAGAATAATGATAACTTAAAAATTTTTGAATTCTCTAAAAAGGGAGAAAATATTTATAGCAAAAATAATTGAGGATTTTTTTGTATTGATGGAAAAGATAAAAGTAACTTCTGTAAATGAAATATTAGAACTTTTAGAATTATCTGATTTACCTAATTATTGGTTTAGTGATAATGAATTAGCAACTACAGTGGATTCCGCTTAATATGGGCACGTTGGGACCAGAATTGTTTTCCCACATTAAGCGGTTGCCCATAAAAACCGAAATTATTTAAAAAAATTTTAATGATATCAAAAAAATTTATTTTACACACGTTAATCATACAGTTGAAAAAAATGTTAAATTACCACGTATATTAATTAAATTAAATATTATAAAGTACATTATTTTTAAAATACATACATCTTAATACATACATACTTCATACTAAATAAAATTACTTTTCGGGTGTGGAAGGTATACAAAACGTTGTAATTGCTCGTTGTCTAAGCTGTTTTGTGTGGATCTGGTTTACAAAATGGGCGCACGCTTCAAGCTTATCAGATGGACTACCCTCGTTACCCTCTTGCATAAAGAACTTCTGCAACAAATCAATGCATTTTTTAGCCTCTCTAGTTGTAACTGGTGGTTCAGTATCGTCTTCTTCTTCTTCTTCTTCAAACTTTCTTTTTTTAAGAACATTTTGTATTATTGAATCACAAATGTCTTCATTATTATCAAAACAAGGAGCATTTTCATCAATGTTTTCAAACTCGCTGTGGTTTTGAATAAGTAAAAATTGTTCATTCAATTCAGTCAACTCAGGTTGTTGACCAACAAAATTAGAAAACCCACAATGAGCGAAACAATTTATAATGGTTGTTCAGCTGACTTCTCGCCAACTCTCGAATACAAACTGTATGGCTTGCAATATGTTTATTTTACCACTTATTTGATTAGCAGTTGCAGATGAATCAAAAAGTTTTTCCTCAATCTTTTCAAGAATAAAATTAACCAGCTTTATTCTATACTTCACCTTGAGGTTTTTTATAATACCCATATCTAAGGGTTGATCAAAGGATGTCGTATTTGGTGGTAAGAATTCTAAAGTGATATTTTTGAGTTCAACGTTTTTTAGATGTGCAGCACAGTTATCAATGAGAAGAAGTATGAACTTAGATTTTGCTTGCAGTTCCTTATCCCATTCACACAGCCAGTTTGAAAATATAGTTGAAGTCATCTATGCATTTTTATTCGCATGGTAATGCACTGGAATTTTATTAATAGACAGATTTTTAAAACATCGAGGTTTTAAGCTTTTTCCCACTACAAGCAGCTTTCTCTTCTCACTCCCCGTCATATTGACACATAATAAAATAGTAATCCTCTCCATTGCTTTTTTTGAGCCGGATAGCACTTCGTGTTTGAAACATAAAGAACCGTCAGGTGTCGCTCGATAATACAGTCCAGTTTCATCTGCATTAAATATGTTATCGGGGGAAAATTTGTTCAAAATTTTTGGTAGCTTGTCAATTTTCCAATCATTAGAGGTGGCATCATCAGCACTTGCTTTTTCACCATGCACACGTTTGAATTTAATCTCATGTCTATTTTTCCACCTGCTTAACCAACCATCAGTAGCAATAAACTGATTGTTACCAATTTTTTGGGATAATTCTTCAGCTTTACACTGCAGCATTGGACCAGAGACGCGAACACCACGACTTGTTATTAATGAAAACCACTCACTTAGAGCCTCGTCAACTTCAGGATCTTTCCCGTTCCGTTAACGTTTTTGATTGCCAGTTTTTGAATTGAAGTTTTCGCGTAAAATCACTTCTTCTTTTAGCAGTTTGGCCACCGTTGATTTCGGAACGCATAACTTTTCAGCGATTTTACGTTGTGAAGTACCTGGAGGAAGCGATTTCGCTTTGTCCAAAATCGCGATTTTTTCCTTGAGAGAGAGATCTTTTCGAGACATATCGTCGCGTTGAAATTCACGTTAAAACTGAAATACGAGTAAATATTGACGCATAAGAGAATACGAGCTGTATTTTTATCGCGTCTGACAAAATTCCATTAAGGTTATTACTTTCGATAAACATAATGTCTTAGATATGACGAAACCGGATTAAATTAGTCGTTTTAACATACATATATGTATATTCTAACCCTATGATAAAATAAAAATTGCCCACATAAACCGAACCAAATGGCCATATTATGCGATTTTTTTACCCATATTGGTATACGTTGGGATGGGACCAGACCATTATGCCCATATTTAGCGGATGCCCATATTAACCGGTGCCCACATTAGGCGGAATCCACTGTATTTCGATAATAACAATTGTGGCACATATATTTTTAATGATACAGATAAAACTAGAATCATTTATGGTTTGGGTAATCGTCCACCTATGGTCTTATACAATATAGATAAAAACACACACTGGATTCTAGACACACAATCAAATAAACCATCAAGAGATATCCGTTTAAAAACAATAAATTTAATAGAATTTTAATCTATAGACAGTAATTTTATAGACTATAATTTAACATTTTATATTTTAACTTCCCATCAAAAAAAAAAACAGTAGCACAGTGGGAATGCGGCAAAGTGTAATTTCACTTGAATTTAAAGATGGATTTTAACAATTATAATCAAATTTAATAATATATCCTAATCACAAGTTCTATGATTTATTGAATAAATTAAATAATTTAGTATTTTAATTTTTACGGAGAATTGATAAAGATATTACTTTTATGGCAAATGTGTATAAATATTAAAAGACTTGATGCAATATTAAAAAAAAAAAGAATGTTGTCACTCATGAATTAACGTACTGGTCTACAAGAAATTTTAATCAGAGACGCAATTTTTCTAAGCCCATTTTTGCACCGATTTCAAATCTGAAATTATATTTATTCTATCACCACTTTTTTGAGATTATTACTAATTATAAAATGAGTATTTACACATGAAAATATTCATTCAAGTTTAGAACTGATATCATTAAATAGAAGATTTTATGAGAATTTAAAAAATTGAATTTTTTAGGTTGAGATGTGATAAGGAACTTATATATTTACTATTAACAGTAAATGTATGAGTAAAGCTAAACTCTTGGTGTTTAAATAGATGCTATAAGTGAAATATTGAAATATTATTAATTATTTTATTTAATTTATTAATTTTTTATATTAAATTATATGTATATTATATTTTCCCAATTTTTTTCGACAAATAGATATAATTAAACTAAACGTTTTATTTACTTCAATAAATAAATTGTTTAATTTAATAATTCTGGATCACATTATAATTTTATTAGCTTTGCAGGTTTTCATTTATTAAGGATTTAATCATTTTAACATTTCAGCTGTTACAGGATTATTAGACCATAAGTTAGTACTGCAACATGAAATTTTTCAGGTTAATTAAAATTCACCTATTAAATTATTTTTTGGTACTTGAAATATATATTCGAGCTCCTTGTCATAATACTTTTAATTTATTATATAATTTTCTTTTATAAATTACAAATGAATATTAAAATGTTAAATAAAAGTTATAGTAAATTAATATTTACAAAAAATATATAAATAAGCATATACAAAGTGATTTTTTGATCATAACCCACTCAACTATCTACAAAATAAAAATAATTTTAACATTATTTTTTTTAGTTATCTATAGTAACACATTATTAATTTTGTAATGATTTTTAAGTTTATTCTTTATGCCTTGTAAGGATATCATCTTTGTTTTGAATGAGAACACATATTTTGAATTTAATAAAATATTTGAGTTTTTAATTTAATAGTGAATGATATTTGAATATTTAATATATCTTTATTCATTTATACAATATTAACATTTAAAATTTTCCAATTTTTGAGTTAATATGCATGTATAATACACAAGGGATTACAAATATAGGTAGCTAATTGGTTTTTTATGGCGTCCATACTCTATCCCAACCGATTTTTTTCAACAATACGCCAAAAAGTAACAAATTGTATTAAGTCGAAGACATTACCCTCAAAAATTGAATCAATTTCCCTCATTCATTGCAAATGAAGGAAATCCCTAAAAAAATACGATTTTAAATCTGTAAATTGTATGTTTTACAAATTTTTAAAAAAAAATTTTATCCCTTTTTAAGCCGATTAAGTGGTTTGATAGCTTTCTCTAAATGAGGAGGTTTCTTAACCATTGACACTCGGGACTGATGGTTAGTCAGTCCCCGGACAACGTGCCATTTATTAATTTTGAAAGTATTCGAAAAAACCTTTAACTTCAAAGATATCTGAAATAAAAGCTTAAATTCCAATATTTTTTAAACTTCTTCTTTTAAAACTATAACAGTTTTAAGATAAAACTTATTTTATGTTAAAATATTTTTGAAAAATGAATGAATCAAAATAATTATAAAAAAAAATACCTTGAGTATTTTTCTTTTATTTGGTATAAATTTTTCGGAAATGTAACCCTTTATTTTCTTTTAGAAAATAATTCAAAATAGCAAATTTTGCATGATATTAACTTTTTTAATTTAATTTTTGAGAATGTACCGTATTTCCTGACATCTTTATATATATCATAAATTAAAGTTTATGTAAACTAATATAGTTTATTAAAAAAAAATATTTTTTCCGATTACTTTTTGAAAACGTTTTGATAAGATTATTTCCTACCAACAATACTCTAAGCTGCATACATAAGTTATATTAAAATTTATGTTACATTATATAAGTTAAAATCTGAAAAATGACATATCTTAAAATGTGCGATCTAATTACTTTTTGTTCCTTCATGCAAGTTAATATACTAACTGCCCTCCTTTTTTTATTCCACTTTTATGTTCGGAATACTTTTTAAATCATGTTTTTGTTGTATTCATTAAATCTAGCTATTTCTTTAATCTTACAACTAATAAATTCAAAAAAGTCAATTTTCCCTTTACTTCCTGTTTGAATGTGTATTTAATCGATAGGTAAAAAGAATTTAAATATTGTATGAAGAACTTTGTATTAAAATTTTTATTTATTACTTCCAAAATAGCATTTACATACCTAATACAAACTTTCGGATAATCACCATATGTGACACATTTATTTTTCTTTGTATTGAGTATATTTTTACCAGCTTATAAAATAAAAAATAGTATAATAAAAAAAATGAGTTGTCGATAATAACTTTTGATCCATTATTTCAGAAGTTAAGACTATTAAAATAAGTAGAGTAGATGTCAAGTATGGTTAATGTTATTTTCATCATTATATTTTACTCTGCTGCTTTTTTCTTCTATATTTAAAATTGCTAATATTTCCACTTTTCAAAAGTTGTTATAGGCCATTCGATTTCTTAATTATATTATATATTTTTTTTATAAATATGTTGCCACTCAAAAAAGTTTGTTGACACCTTTATAAGATATAAGGATTAAGTTAAAATAACTTAATAATCAATAAATCGAGAATTACATAGAATTAAACATTTTCAAAACTTATTCACTTAATATAGTTAACAATCCCACATTGTTGGGTTTTTTTTATATAGCAATCAAATAATATATTTTATTTATATAAAAATATTATGGTTTTTGACTTTTAGGTAGTGTTACGTCGAGTTGAATAGAAGCAAAGTAAACCTTAACTTGAATTCACGTTTATATTTTTATTACATGTTTTGCCATCAATGGTCATTAACAAACAATATATCTACATAAATACTTAAGTCTAAAAAGTTGTGTCTACATAAGTATAACTATATAAAAACTAGAAATATAGATTAGAATTTGTATTTGCATAATTAGTGCTGTTATTTACAATTGTCATAATAAATATGTATTTTTAAAAAACTTAATTAATTTAATATCATTATCTGGGTGGATTATTATAAAAAATTTTTAAAGCGTCTTAATATTATCTGCAGTTTTTAAGTATATTTTTGTAAGGATATACTGCACGTTGAACATATTGGGAATTTTTCTCCCTCCATGAGAAAACCATTAGTGAATCTAGAGTAACCTATGTAAATTCGCAATTCTCATTTTATGACTATATCAATTCTCCTACATTTCAATTGTTTTTTACTAAAAAATATTTACAGATATATACGAATTTTATCCTTAACTTTTTTATCGCATACTATGCACCTTTCTCGTATTGCGCAATCATTACAGTACCATCCATGACCACAAGGAATAACTATGTATTTATTTTTTGGTACAGCATCTTTTATCAGGCGAAGGCAGTTTATACAACGCATATTTTCTTGACCAATTAAACTTCTAGGTATTTTTTCTCGATCAACTAAGGATAAATATCAACAATAAACATTTTTATGTACGACATAATTATATCTTACATAAAGATTATATTAATTAATATTTTTTGTTATCTTTTAAAATACCTAAAAATGGAGACAGTAATTATTTTTTATTTAGTTCAAAAAAGTTATTTCATTATAGAATAGAGCAGAGAATTAGTATAGCAAAGATGAGAATGCTTAGATAGATAAATGGAGTGAATAGAAAAAATAGGATAAAGAACGAACATATAAAAAGTAGTATAAGTGCAGCGTCAATTATGGTTAAGATGAGTGAAAATTGACTTATATGGTTTAGTCATATTATATGGAAAGAGGAACCGGAAGCTGTAAGAACAGTTATGGAAATAGACATTGAAGGAAGTAGAGATAGAGGTAGATCAAAAAAGAACCCGGAGAGATGTGTAATGTTATTTAATGTAATATGAAGAAGGCTGAGGTGTGCGTAGATGATATAGGAGATCGTGTCAATTGGAAGTTTAGGACAAGGGTGGCCCACCCTAAGTAGTTGGAATAATGGTGAGGAAAAAGAAGAAAAAGAATTGGCCACTTTCTGAGTCGACAGTGATTAATTATATATTAATTACAATGTAACTTATGCAAATAATTTTATTTACTTTTTGCATATGAAATTGACGGTGTTATCACCTTCATAACCTGGTAATTTGAATAGTTCTGGCGGCACAAAGGACACTTATCAATTTTGTGCAAACAATTATTACAACACCAGCTATGTCCACACGGCACAAAACTATAGATTTTTTTGACCATGTATTCAGGATTCATGCACACAATACATGAGTTTTCCGCTGTAGTAACAAAAAAATTTTCTCAAAAAATACAAAATTTAATCAAAAATAAATACCATTACATGATTAATGTTATATCTGTAATTTCATAAATGCAAACTTGTGTTCAATATTAAAGAATAAGTGTAATATAATTTAAAATTTTTCAAAAGGAATAGAAGCATAACAGCTAAATTTTAATGAGAGTATTTTTTTTTCAAAATTTTGGTAATTTCTTTTTACAATAAAAGAAAATTGCAATTAATATTATTTTAATGTAATCCATTACTATAAAGTTTGTTTAAAAAAGACAGTACAAATTAAAAATTGTTTAATAGTTATAAATGTTGTCTATGTACGAATCTCTTCTTTAAGTAATATTATTAAATTATTTAGTGTTAAATAAGTAAAATAGCGGAATTCTATTATTCTCATTGCAACACGCTGTATAACAATTTATGAACATTTAAAAAGTCAGATGAAATTTTGCAATTCAAACTACAAACTATAATGAATAAAATTGACGAAACACTTAAAAATATTAAATTATAAACATTTGATTACAGAAAGGGTGAATTTTATAAAAAAATTCCCAGACAAAAAATCAAATTTTTCAAAAAAATAGTGTTCTAGCTTCGATGCGAAGCTGAGAAGGTATTGGTTTTACTATTATGTTTTTTTTTTTTTGACTGTTACCACTTTTTCTCAGCTCTCACCGAACGGATTTCTTTCAACGATACGTCAAAAGATCACAAATCGTATCTAGTCGAAGACATTACCCTCAAAAATTGAAAATATTTCCCTTGTTCTCCGTAAATGGGGGAAACCTCCAAAAAAAATTACAAATTTAAAAATCGCCAATTTTTTCAGTTTTTTTTACTAAAATCTGTCGTAACTTTTTCAAAAATAAACATATCAATATAATTTTTTTTTATAGATGCTTATTGTCTTTACCCATTATTTGGTATATTTTTTTTGTAAATTTGACACTTAACCTGCCCACAGGAGGGGATTTAAAATGATTACTTTTTCACAAAAATTTAACTTTTTCAAATTAACTTTTGAAAATGTTCCGGAAGGTCTGACACTTTTATATATATCTTAAATTAAAGCTAATGTAATATACTTTAATATGGAAAAAAAATTTGACCTCTGGACTTGTCTTCGTGGTGAAAATAGCTACCAAATACTATTTTCGTATGAAAATTCTTGAATTTATTATTTATATTTTTAACTTTATAATGCTATAACTTAATGAAAAGTGTATGGATCAACACAATTTTTTTATGAGAAATAATATTTTTTAATAATCCCTTTTTCATTCAGGATATTAATAAGAAAATAATAGATAATGTAACTTTTGGAATAATCCAGCAATTTTTNTAGATAATGTAACTTTTGGAATAATCCAGCAATTTTTTAAAATTAAACACTATCTAAAGATTTGCATCGAAGCGTTTTTTATGGTAGTGATTTTAATCAGATATCATTATACTTGATCCAACTATGCCACGTCATCACTGTGCCGCGACCCCCCTGTGCTGGGTTTTTTTTTTAATTTAAGAGAGTTAAAATTTCTAAACTGATTTCTATTCAAATTAAATTAAAAAAATCACCTGCATAGCGCAGCCCTATCAACATATCTAAATGTTGTATATAGATATTTTTTCTTACCTCTATCCCCATCCATGTTCTTTAAATAAAATAAATAACCTTTATCNAAAAAATCACCTGCATAGCGCAGCCCTATCAACATATCTAAATGTTGTATATAGATATTTTTTCTTACCTCTATCCCCATCCATGTTCTTTAAATAAAATAAATAACCTTTATCTAGATTATACAATTTAATAATATTTTGTTTATCATTTTGCCACAAGATAAACAGTTCTTCATTAGATAAATTTTCTAATGGTCTTAATGGGGATTCAACATCAACAAAATTTATTTTGATTTTCATAGACTCCATACAGCTAAATAAGTCGCTTCTGTAGTCTTCATCTAGATTGTTAAATTCAAAATTTGTGTACTTGCTCTTATGTTTCTTGTAAACAATTATAAGACATTCGTAAGGATCTAATGAAATCCATTCTCTATTAAATATCACTCTTAACAAATAAAGTATTTCACTGAAATCGTTATAATAATTTGTCAGTATTATTTGTCTTCTGTTCATTTCTCTTGCAAATTCGCAGAACCGATAAATGTACGTAATGCCTATACTTTCAATAGTATTCAAAATAATTGCATAACCGAGTGAATATTTTCCATTCAAAAAACAAGCATGAACCACACGTGACAAACTTTTATTAGCTATTTCTATCTTTCCATAAATAATTTCGTCATAGTGTCCTGTATGACTCCATGGTATTGGGCACACCATTTTATCCATATTTAATCTACTATAAAATAAATGATCTTTAAGCTGTAATCCCATAATATTTTTGTAGTCGATTTTTAGAAGAACTAAGTCATTCATAGTGATATTTTTTAGATTAACAACATAATTCGAATTGATTTTATGAAGAAAAAAAAGAATTAAGTTCACTTTAATAAGTACCATATTATTATTTTAAGTTTCTACAAGTTTTAAATTCACAATAGCTTTTTAACTAAAATTAAAGAATTTTCAAATAAATATTATTCAACTAAATATATTATATCTGTATAGTATTATTCAGTGAAAAGTATATAATAATATCAAAGTTAAAAACAGATATAAAACGTATAGTTGAGCTATATTTGAACAAATGTAATTTAAAATACCATTATTTCAGTTTAAGATGTATTTTTTTTTTTTTTTAACGCACTCTAGAAAATATCTTAAATATAATATATTAATTACATTTTATTTATAAAATAAATTTTTACACCATTTATTCAATATTGTTCATAATAATCGCATAACCGATATTTAATTTTCATTAAACTATATACAATAAATTACATCCAACTACCATACAACATTTTACCATGTGTATGTTTGCAATGATACTTTTTTTTTAAGCGTCATCAAGTGATTTTATTTAGTTCGACAACATACGTTGATTAAATTATATGATTAAATAAAAGAAGAAAATTGACTATGTAAATCATTTTGGCTGCTTGAGTTATATCAAGTATTCTTTATGAAAATACAATTTATCAATTTTTAATACAATTATTTATTTGAATGGTATGATTTAAGGTTATTTTAGATAATTTTTGTCAACATTTAAACAAAAATTATACTGAAGTCCAACCGTGTTCTAACATCGTTAATAACTATTGATCCAGCAAATATTTTGTGTGATTTTTTAAAAGCTAATTTTTATATTATTTTTCCTTTATACAATAAAAATAATAGTACATTTTTTTAATATTTTAGAACAGTCATTTTTTAAATTTTTTCTAACTAAGATATTAGAGAATCGATAAAAAATTTTGGATTAATAGTATTTTGTATAGATAGTGTATAGTTACAATTTGTACTGATGTAGGTGTACTCCGTTTGCTTACACAAATAAAGATAAATGTGGAATTTTATATTTATATTTATACATAAATTTAATATACATATTATCAATATGTATATTAAATTTTANTATACATAAATTTAATATACATATTATCAATATGTATATTAAATTTTACTATACATTCTTTATAAAGACATTGTTTAAATAAGACACTAAGTGAACTCTAATTTTACAGATTTTTATATTGTTCACTACATAAAGTAAGTAAAGTTTAATAAGATGAAAACAATTTTTATAGATTAGAAATTTTTTTTTATTTCAAGTTTTTCTACCTTTTATTTAATTCTCACTATTAGGAGCAATTTTTGGTCGAGAGGTGAGAGTAAAGTAATTAATTAATTACTTCATTGATAAATCATTAATTAATTGAAATTATCGTAATAGAAAAAGAAACAAGTCATCTTGTAAATATAACTCATTACAAATAAATAATGTAGTGCTTTATTAGCTTTNGTCATCTTGTAAATATAACTCATTACAAATAAATAATTTAGTGCTTTATTAGCTTTGATGTAAAGTTAGAAGGTATTAATTTTACTTTAGTGTGTTTTTTTTTTGGAGGGGGGTCAGTTACCAATTTTACTAAGCCCTCTCCGAACCGATTTTTTTCAACGATACGTCAAAAATCATAAATCGTGTCTAATCGAAAACATAACCCTCAAAAATTGAATCCATTTCCGTCGTTCATCGCAAATGAGGAAAATCCCTCAAAAAATTACGATTTTAGAAATCTGTAAAGTGTGTGCTTCATAAATTTTTGAAATTATTTTTTTCCCTTTTTAAGCCCATTAAGTACTTTAACGGCTTTCTCTAAAAGAGGAGGTTTCTTAACTATTAATAATATATGAAAATATGAGAACACATATTTTGAATTTAATAAAATATTTGAATTTTTAATTTAATAGTGAATGGCATTTGAATTTGTAGTATATCTTTATTCGTTTATTCGATATTAACATTTTAAATTTTCAAATGTTTGAGTTAATATGCATGTATAATACACAAGGGATTACAAATACAGCTAGCTAATTGGTTTTTTAAGGTGTCGATACTCTATCCCAACCGATTTTTTTCAACAATACGCCAAAAAGTAACAAATTATATTAAGTCGAAGTCAATATCCTAAAAATTGAATCAATTTCCCTCATTAATCGCAAATGAACGAAATCCCCTACAAAATTACGATTTTAGAAATCTGTAAATTGTGTGCTTTACAAATTAAAAATTTTTTTTTTTTTTATCCCTTTTCAAGCCAATAAAGTGCTTTTACGGCTTTCTCTAAAAGAGGAGGTTTCTTAACCATTGATACTCGGGACAGGTGGTTAGTCAGTCACGGGACAACGTGACACTTATTAATTTTGAAAATATTCGAAAAAACCTTTAACTTCAAAGATATTTAAAATAAAAGCTTAAGTTCCAATATTTTTTAACTTCTTCTTTTAAAACTAGAACAGTTTTAAGATAAAAATTATTTTATGTTAAAATATTTTTGAAAAATTAATGAATCAAAATAATTATAAAAAAAAAAATACCTTGAGTATTTTTCTTTTATTTGTTATTAATTTATTAATAACAATTATATAAATTATTAATTTATATAATAATAAATTTATTTATTTGTTATTATTTGTATCTTATTATACGATGCAATTTTAACAGTAACAAAATCAAATGAAATCAATCAAAAAACTATATTTTTTACCTTTGATTTGTATATTAAAACAAATGATATAGTTCATACTTATGGTAAAGAACTTTCAAACGTCATTGTTCAACTCGAAGGCTTTCATTTACTGATGTCTTTTATGAGCTATATTGGGTATTTAATGCCGAATAGTGGACTTCAGGAAATGTTAAACAATATAAACACTATGCACCAAATTCTGTAGAAAAACTACTATCTGGTCATGCCTATTCGAGATCTATTCGAGCGCATTCATTAACGTATTTTGCTTTGTCAAAACTTATTTTTGAAAGAATTTATCCAACTGTAGATAAACGATTTAAAGTTCAAGAATACTTTAATCAATACTTTGTGAATCCAACAAGTACGGCAAAAATAAATGAAGACAACTTTTATTTCTATAACTAATATATTTATAACTGATGTTAGTTCAATTAAAAATCTAAGTCAAACAGTTGCGTTATGGATACAATATTTTGAAATGGTTACATTAATGAAATAGTTTATTCAAGCCGAACAATTAGGTGACTGGTGTTTTCATTCAACTTGTTGTAGAGACATGCTTCTTTATTTTCAAGCATGCGGTCACATTCCATACACTAAGGCTACTTATATGTATTTACAAAATATGATTACATTAGAGAATAAAATGAATACTGCAAAACATTCAAAATTTGTAAATAAAAGTTACTTTACTATTCGTCGGGTAGATAAAACTTTTCTGGTATATGGACAGATATGACGATTGAACAAAATCTTATGCGGACAATGAAAACAGCTGAAAACACATGGTAGAGGTATGACGAATAGCGTAATGAATAAATGGATTTTGAGTATACCTGTTTTAAATAATATATGTGCTAACATTGAAAATTTTGTAAATATTTCTTTCAGTACAAGCGAACAGCACATCGAACTACGTCTAAGATATCTCGTGATGATAGTGATGTTGAAAAAATTGTCAAATAGTTTTCATTAAAATGTCCATTCCCAAACTACAAATATAATATGTCAATTGCCACCGGAATTTCTGGTAATGATAAAGTTAGTTGTCATAAAGCGTATGAAATTGGTCTTGTTCTAGTAAATTCAATGGTGGGTAATAAATTTCATGATATAAAACTTAAAAGGTCAAATAAAGTTATAACTCTAGCTTCAATAACTTCTGGTGTTAAAATTAATAATGACATAATTAAAGTAAACCCATTGCTACTATTTCAACGAATCGCTATTTAAAAAGAAAGTGATGAAGAACTTTGTTCATATTTTCAATTTGAACTCTCACCTTTGCTTTTGGCATTATTTGATGAAAACGGTCTTAGAAAAACAAAAAAATCTGCCATATATGATATTTTACAGCACATACCTTTAGAAAGTATATTAATAACTACTGGTGCAAAGTATGTAATTGATGGAGAATTTCTCCTCCATTAAGTTTTTTAGCAAATTTATCAACACATTTGAATCAATTTGTGATTCTTATGTTACTTAAAAAAAAACACTTTGGTACTGATGTAATTGTTGNTTGTGATTCTTATGTTACTTAAAAAAAAACACTTTGGTACTGATGTAATTGTTGTATTTGATAGTTATCAGAATAATGTAAGAAGTATAAAAAGTTCAGAGCGACAACGTCGAAGATTAAATAAAAAATATTCTAATGTATTTTTTGAAAGCCATATGGTTGTTCATGTTTTAAAGGACAACTTTTTATCAAATGATAATACAATTCGATTTATGAAATGCTTAACCCTTTGGCAGGCGCGTGCCTATTTTTAACGTTCATAGTCGCGTGGGGGTTTATCAGACCACATTTCTAAAAAAGTATAAAAGACATTATTTTTTACCATATGATATATAAATATGGATGAAAATTCAAAAATTAAAATTAAAAAATAAATAAAATACAAAATTATGTGCATTACTAAAAATTATATTACGAAA